AAAATTAAATTACCTTTATTTTTTCAACCAATAAAATTAAAATATTTAAAAGTATTATATTCTTACCATATTTAATGTACCTTATTTAGTATCCATCAAATATTATTACCATATTACATTATATTACCATTTAATATATATATATATATATTACCATGTTTAATATATAAACTATGTACCTTATTAAATATTATATTATATGATTTCAGTTTCAAAACTATTATTTCCTGTTACAAGAAAGGTGAAACCGAATAATATTACTATATTTTATATACACATTATATATTATATAATATAATTTTTATTTTATCCAATAGAGTTTAAATTGATAAAAGAAATTAATATGATCAATTAAAATTAAATTATCTTTATTTTTTGAACTAATCAAATTAAAACTATTAATGATATTTTTGTAAATCCAAAAATTTAGTACGAACGTTTTAGGCAATCTCAATGTTATCCAACTTGTTAATGTTTCTTTGATTTGGATTAATAGGTAAACAAATAAGCTTGCTCATTCTCTATTAAAAGACGTTTTTCTTATGCTCGTCTTCAATGTTGAGATTCAATATCCTCTTATACAGAAGCTAGTCTATATAAAATAGGCAGTTAGCTACTCTAACAAATTGAATTAGTGGCCATCAATATATATATATTAATGGCTTTAAGTAATTATTATTGCAGTTAGCTACTCTAACAAATTGAATTAGTGGCCATCAATATATATATATTAATGGCTTTAAGTAATTATTATTAATTATTAATTTTTAAAAAATGATAAAGTTTAATAACAATGAAGTATTCAATGTATTGCTTTGTAACAAATATTTACCCTCAAATTTATAAAGTAATAAATTTTTACTCTAACAATCGTAAATGTATATTTAACGGTTCCTATCTAAACGTTTCCATTTTTTTAAATGCAATAGTAATATTTTTTAAAAAATTTTAAATTATTTATCATCAAAAAACACTTTAGTTTTTTTATAAATACCATATATAAGTTGTATCACTATATTATTCTGTATTTTTTGTAAGGATATATTGGTCTCTGCTTTTAAATGTATTATTCGTTTTTTTTTAAGTTTAGAATTTTCTACGTTTCAACAATTTCCACAAATGGGGTAAGCAGTTCTTACTCAAACTTTTTGTGTCTCCTTTTTAAAGATTATTTAAAATGATTTTATCGCCGTAAATTATCAAATCAACACACACACACACATATATATATAAAGTAGACATAATTTTTTTTGGTGTTACCACGTAGGATTCCAAATTAATGACATGTATATAACTAATTTGTTTGTTTTTATATTTATTTAAAAATAACTTAATTTATGATTAAATTAAATCATTTTAAATGTAATTGATTAATATAACGATAGAGAATTAATAGTGTATTAAGTAACAATTTAGATAACTTTAATGATACAAATAAATTACATAATTTATAAATTTTAATGATATGGATAATTATTATTTTATATTAAAAAATTAAAAATTTTTGTATTAAATTAAATTATATTAAATATAATTGATAGTTATAGTATTAATAATATGATAAGTTGAAGATTTATAGAACTTTTAGTTATTTAAAATAAATTATTTATTCATAGATTTTGAGGAAATAACAAGTTCATTATTTTAATTTTACATTAATTTTAAAACAAATCAAATTAATGAATTTTACCACCTCTTGTTTTACTTTTTTTTTTTTATCTCTATAAATTTTATTAATTTTAATCCATATTCCAAAACACATGCTTATCTACTAATTTTTACTTTAATAATCAATAATCATGCTGTGTCTTTTTTTTTACTATTGATATATCTTTATAATATTTTTAATAACATAATAAAAAAAATATTGATATATCTTTATAATATTTTTAATAACATAATAAAAAAAATTTTATTCAAGAATCTATAAATTATATATATATTCTCTCAATTTTACTTTATTTTATTTTTTTTAACCGTGTATAGCACGGCTATATCGCTAGTTACTGTAATATATACATGAATAAAAATTATCAATCATAGGTATTAAATAAAAATCGTACATATGTATAAAAAATAAAATAAAAATCATATATACAAAAGGTAGACATATTAAAAGAAGAGAAAGGAAAGAAACCGACGAGGATAGCTTGCAATTTTACCATCCTCATCAATCAAAAATTCAGTTTTCTGGATTAAAATTTCTTTAAAAGCAACTAAATTAAATTTACTTTCTAATTTTCTGACGTTTATTTTTTGAATAAAATTTTCTGACATAAATAAGTTTAAAAAAAAAACTATTATTATTCACTTAATTATTGCACATTGGCAACCAGAAAATAATTGTTTTCTACTTAATTTGATAAAAGGAAAAAATAGAAAGAAAGAAACGGGAAAAAAAAAAAAGAAAAGAAAAGAACACCTCCATCTCTCCTCCTCTATGTTGATCAAGAAACAGTGAGGCCACCATGAAAATGGTGATTGCAGGCATTAAAAGGGGAGAACCTTGTAGGCTTGGGCTGAAAGTTTCGTCTTCTTTGAAGATCATGGCTTGATGGCTTGATAATCTGTAAAAGAAATGCCTTTATGGTGTCAGCTTTTGAGTTGATCATCATTGTCTTTGATTTTGATGAAGAAGACACCTCCAACATTGATGATCGGTTCAAATGAGCCGTTGATTCTCGATAAAGTCCACCAGATGTTGTAATAGTAGTAATTCTGTGTAGGCTGCACTTGAACGAGCCTGGATGGAATTCTGTGTAGGCTGCACTTGAACGAGCCTGGATGGGCTGTAGGTGAGCAGAGACACGTACGTGTTGGTGATGAGGAAGAAGATAATAGGTTATTTCTTTTTGTTGCCATGGATAGATTATATTTGCATTTCTCTCAATTTCTCTTTTTACTGTTGACAATACATAGGACTTCTTTTCTATTCATTGTAGGCTTAAATGCTTTAACTTACTAAAATTTATGATGAACTCAAATTTAGCGTCTGGTTCATCAATAAGGAATTGGATCAACAGAAACGAGCTTTATCCACAAAATCATGGGTTTAAAACCTAACATCGCTGCTTGAAGACACACGTTCAAACGAAATTTAAGAAACAAATTGAGCAAGTATGTTAAAAAATACACAAAACCAGGTGCTCTTTCATATGTACAAGATTCTTGCCATTATATTATTTGATTGAGCACACGGAATTGAAATAAGCTGCTATAGGGTTTCTAATTTTTGTTTGTTAAAATCTACTTTAGCACATTGATTTGCATATAATGTGGTGGTGTTGAAGAAACTATTACCTTTCTCTTCCTTTTTTTATTTGTTAAAAGGTTCAAATGCATTAGTATTAATTTCAGCAAAAACGTTTCTTTGCAATACAGTATGCATGCACTTACTATATATTTATCTTTTTAGATATACTATATATTTTACAGGGTATACAAATTGATATATATTTAAATAATTTAAGTCAAACCAAAATAACTTATTAAGTTATGAAATTAATTATCATAAATTATTATAAATTCTAGGAATAATTATTATTTTATCCTTATATTTTATCATAATTAATTAATTTATTCTTTTCTTTTCAGAAATGAATCATTTTAGGAATAATTGAAATAACATAGCTAGACGGAATCCAACTCACAATAATTTCCAATTTGAGATCTATTTGTTTCAAATCATAATTAAAAACACAAACTGATCAATAAAATTCATATGTTCATCAAGATTCAGTGAAAAAAAAAAAAAAAGAATAACGTAATTAACACAACAATAAATTTTAATATTCTTCACATAAGCACAAATGTATAAAAGTTCTAATTAAACATCATCCTAATTCTCCCAAATAAACATAAACATCATTCAAACGCCATCCAATTTCTCCAAATAAACATAAACATCATCTAAATTCCATATTAGATGAGGAAGTACAAACAACAACTTCACAATTTTCCCTCCAATATAAAACAATAAACATGCATCCTAAATTCCATATTAGATGAGGAAGTAACAAACCAAACATACTTCAACATCTTAAAATATACAATTCCTCCGGCTCTAAGACAGTTAAGCCCCATTTTAATTCCGTATGTAAGTTCTTCCAACTCTGCTTTCTTTGCATCTATGAAAGCAAATAAGAAAAGTTACAATTCCTCCGGCTCTAAGTTAAGCTCCATAATTTCTCTTGTAAGTTCTTCCAACTCTGCTTTCTTTGCATCTATGAAGCAAATAAGAAAAGTTAATTAGTTAAATAGAAACAAATAAAATGATTTCAACAAGTAAAAAATGGCAGATACCTTCACTAACAAATCTTCTTTTTGCCCCTTAAATGGAATTGAGGGAGGAGACACTCAAATTTTAAAATACTCAGCAGTTTTGCCTAATATTATCATTCAAATTAATTTGGTCAATTATAAACTTCTCAGTATCTTTTTCAAAAAAAATCTGACTACATGGAGCATTTTAAATCCGCACGAATATGAATAATAGCGGATTCAGTTCTAGAGAGGACATAGCAACATGTTAATTGTATAAATACCAAAAAATGGATGAAAAAATTTGATCAATTTGTGTATCTTACAAAAAAAAAAACTGTCATGTATGCAAGTTGGAGTATATTATTCAACACTTGAAATTCAAGTATTAAATTTTCAATTTGTACCAAAATAACTCCTAATTCTCTCTGCTTTTACATCCCTCTCTGTAATTTTGCTAGTCAAATTGCAAAAGCAGTGAACTGCTCCTCTGTTTTGAACTCCTGCAAAGTACAATGCTCAATACCAACTTCAGCTTCATAAATTTCTAAATGGCCTAACTATGTTCGGAGTGATTTTAGAACTGACTTAACCAATCAAAAGTTAAGGACTAGTAAATTAGAGTTAATTAATCCAAACAGACAAGAAAATCGTAACCTTACATCATACCAAAAGTTAACATGAGTTAATACTAGGACAACCGCATCAAATAGAAGTCCAACGTTCAATCAAGCTATTACCTTCTGGACCAAGCTGTCTGGGTGGTAAAGAATTGTACATAGGACGTTGATACTTGGCCTCCATAGAGAGCATCTTCAAAGAAATTTTCCGTAGATAATCTGACTGCAATTAGAGATCATTAGAATAAAATGGATCTCATAACAGTCCACTACAGAAATGTAGCTAGCAAGATTCTGATGTGTGTGTTCATGTAGTGGGAGGCTACATGCTGAACCTTTGGGATATAATGGAATATCAATATTTGCAGTTCCCCTCCCACCCAATTTTTGCTTTCTCCCACTCCCCTATTATTTTATTTATTTTTTACACTTCCTTTGTTTTGTACTCACAAAGAATCCCCTACCCTTCTAAATAAAATGAACAATCCAAGAGGATCACCATAATAAGGATGCGCATTTCATCATTAAGGACATACCTGGCTTTTAGCAATAACATAAATCTTGTCCTCAAACCGCACTGCAATTTTCCTGAGTTGTTCTAATCCCTCTAGACCAGAATATGGAAGATGTTTCTTTAATGTCTCCACTCTACACATGCAAAATATTGTATTACCAATTACATCACATCCACAAAGAAGGGAGCTCTCGACGGAGCAGTAATATTAGGAATGTAAATTACTAAATTTTGTAGCAAAGGCAATGATACTAGACAAATAAGAATTCTTAAATGCAATAGGTAAATGATAGTAAGCTACATATTGAAAGAAAAAACACTGACATTTTATTGACAATTCGCTGTCGAGTATCAGGCTGCAAGACAGCTCTCCAATCACCAGCATCTATTGCAGGTTGTTCAACTTGGCCAGTAGGCCTCTCATCGGTATCCATCAGATTCCAACCAAGAACAATTAATTAACAGCTGCAAACATTACAAAGAAAGACTATCAATTGTCAAGATAAATCTAACCCTATAGAGTTAGCCTTAAAATCTCTATTGATTCTACTGCAAATAACCAACAAATTGAAAATTTAAAGCTTTTGATTAAGCTAAAACTTACTCTTAAACTCTAAACCAGCATAAGTTATTTTGATTCTACAGTAAATAAACGTAGCAAAAAAAGAAAAGAAAAATCTAACAATGTTTTTGATAATTTCGTAAAATTATAATTTAAAGATTGGTAAATTAAAAATTTAAAACATAAACCACTAAAGGAGCTCTAAATTAAGAGGGGAAAATCCAAATTTTAAAACCCATAACAGAAATCAAAAATCAAATAAAGGGTTTCAATTGATAAGTTACCCGCTTCATCATTTCCCTTAAAGCAATCAAATTTCTAGAGAGAAAATAATCAGTCAAAGCTTAAAAAAAGATCATTCCTTTTTAAAAAACGCGGAAAGAGATAAAAAAGAACCTTGTGATAATTTTGTTGATGATCTGGTTTCTGGTTTTCAGAAACAGTGAAAATTTCGAGGAAGAAGAGAAACGGAATGAGAAACCAAACGGAAATAACAATTGTGATTCAATGAATTCGGTGTCAATACTGAACTCTTTCATGAGTAACAATTACCTGCGCTGTAGTGTATTCTACCCATACACCGCACCGATGGATAAAATAGAGTTTTCCACAGGAGATATTTAATCTAAAAATGATAATCGCGCTTTAATCTTATTGACTAAAAATTAAATAAAGAATTATTATTTAAAATTTTTAATTTAATTGATTACAAAAATTATATATTAAATATGATAAAAATATAAAAAATTAATTTAATAAAATAAAAAATTATATAACATATTGGATATGATATATATATTAAACATAATAAGAATATAAGAATTTAATTTGATAAAATAAAAAATTATGTTACACGTTAAATTTATATAATTTAAATATTTATCTACTAAAAATCTGTAATATATACATAAATGAATCGATTCTAAACAAAAAGATAAAATTGGAGAGAATATTACGATTGTTAAAAATACATCTAAATTTACTAATAAAATATCTTTTATAATTTTAATTTTACTGGTTGGAAAAATAAGATAATTCTATTTTATTATTTAAATTTATTTTTTAATTAAATTTAAAATTTATAAATGATCGAGTTCTAAACAAAAGATAAAATTGGAGAGAATATTACGATCTGTTTAAATACATCTAAAATTTACTATATAAAATATCTTTTATAATTTGAATTTTACTGGTTGGAAAAATTAATGATAATTCTATTTTATTATTTAAATTTATTTTTTTAATTAAATTTAAAATTATTTACCTAAAATAAAAAATTATATTTATAAATAAAGTATATATTTTAAAAATGATAAATCTACATGTTATGGTTCAGATTTTTTAATTAAATTTAAAATTTATTTACTAAAATAAAAAATTATATTATATATAAAATAAAGTATATATTAAAAATGATAATCTACATGTTATGGTTCAGTTGGCTATGCAGACTGAATATATGGGAAGAGTTCTCGAGTTTGATCCTGTTAAACACACCTGCAGCTGTGACTAACCTCCGAGCCAGACAAATTAGGTGGTCTTTGATAATAGGGTCTGGATATCAGCAGTTTACACAAAAAAAAAAAATGATAAGAAAATAAAAATTCAATTAGGTATATACAATATGTATATTTCTTGGGCCTTTTTATCTTTAAAAAATTTTTTTTGAGAAATTAGTCAAATTTAGTGATTTTCTTTCTTTTTTATATTGGATTACTCTCCGGTTTGAAGAATTTGCTGTTTCCTTGATTTATTTTCTAATTGTTTTGGACTTTATTTGAGAATTAATGTTTCCTGTTGGTCCTTTTAATAAATAGAAAAAAAATTAATATTCTATTTTAGTTTGGAAGTAAAAATTAGTTATCTCGTATCTTTTTTTTATGATGGATAATTTATGCTTGAATGAGGTTATACTTTTTTTTTTTTCTAATCTTTAAATCCCAAATTATTTTTTTTGTCTTTTGGTGTATTTCATAGAAATATAAGAAAATGGAAATTATTTCCAATGTATGAGTAAAACTTACTAGAAAGATTTACTTATTCACAGTGTATGAATCCATACACCAAACCGATTGAATAAAATTTTTGAGTAAATATTTGGCTTAGCACATATTTTTGCTAGCATCAAAGATTACAGGTGTTCAATTTATTCTTTTGTCAATAAAAAGATTTCCTAAGATTAGAGGTGAGTATTCATTTTAATCAACTGAATTGGCTCGTATAAAATTTCTCAAGGTAAAATCACACTACAATCTAATAAATTATGAAACCGAATCACACTATTTTGGGTAAAAAAAAAATCGGTTTGTAAATTGATTAATTTTCTCTCTCAAAATCAAATTATAACTAAATTTCTCAAACATCATACCACACTAGTTCAATTCGATTTGACAATTACATCTGATTACAAGAAAAAAATTTCGAACCATTAATAATCAAGCCAAGTATGATCATTTATTGACTATTCTTATGTTACTATTTTTTTTAAATGATCTGAAAAATAAAAGCAAAATCTCTAAAAATCATCGAACACCATCTTCTTGTTCTATTCTATCCTGAGCATCTAGCTTTAAAAACTGTTTTGAATAAACACGGTGACGCCTCTCTCTGGCATAGAGTACCCAGAAGATCAGAGAAACCATTATTGCAGCTGAAACCATGACAAAGCCAATAAAGATCCACCCACTATAGCGATTCAGACCTGGACAATGCTGCTCAAAAATACCAGTAAAAGTTTCGCGGACGAAAGTGCAATCTACTAGCTCAGCTAGGAATGGACTATAGTGATTCAGAGCATAGCTCACATTTGCAGCAAACACCATTTGGTTGTAAAATTTAGGTGTCAAACGACCTGTCGTAATGCAAGTACCATTTTCTGAGACTTGGCATATATACTTCCTCCATTCCTGCATTAAACACAAATGAATTGTTGATCGTTTCAACCTTCAATGTCAAATAGGCTATGCCTGACCAATGAGTTTGCAAGTTCAGCATTGTGAGCTTGCAAGTTTCGATCTCAGTAGAATTAAAATAAACCAACAAATTACAAGGGAAAAAAAAAAAAAAAAAATTACCTTTGATGCATTGGTAAAGTAGACTTCACCAGCAGCACATATCCTCTCTGTCATATCAGAATAGAAAGGATTGCTGAGAATGGGAACTAGTGGACCGGATTGATTGAAATACAAATTTTTAGACTCTGGTGGTAAGTTAGGAGGTAGATTTTTTGGCGGGTCAGTGTTGGAGACGTTGATGAATGAGTTAACGAGAAGAACTAGCTGATAAGTGACTTGTTCACTTTCCGATAAGGTTTGCTGTGCAGTTGCTTTGTCTACACAGGGAAGAATGTCATCTAAAGCTGTGTGAGCAGTTGGGTTTTGAACCCATTCTTCCATTGCAACACAAGTATCTCCAACTACACTGCAATGAGAAGAGGCCAAAAGTGGCTATATTTAGCAATTCCTGCAAATTGTCTAAAATATCAAATCTTAGCAGTTCAAAATTGTACTTACTTATGCAGAATGAGAAATAAGCAGCATAAAATCAATGCACATGTTGCGAAGATCCATCCTATGATAGACAGTCTGAAATTATTAAAGAATGAGATTAACATATATAAGATATAAAGCAACAAAATAAGATGACTTAAAAAAGTGAATAATGCAGCTAAGTTACTTACATGTAAACAAAAGTTTGCAAGCCAAAAATTGATAGCACTGCAAGAAATGAAATTATTTATAAGAGGATACCTAGAAACAATTAATTATCTTTAATTTGTTAGTGATTAGTATGCTTACAGAAACCAAGAAATGCTAAGAGGAGCATGACAGCAGCAACTGTTATCAGAATCACTCGTCTGAAAGACAAAATACTCTAATCAACAATAACAACAGGAAAAAAAAAAAAAAAAAAAAAAAAATAAGAGGAGCATGACAGCCAGCAACTGTTATCAGAATCCACTTTCAGTCTGAAAGACAAAAGACTCTAATCAAACAATAACAAACCAGAAAAAAAAAAAAAAAAATAAAACAGCATGTGGTAAGATTATTAACTTAGTTGAAACTCACACAGGAATCCCAAAACTTTACTGTATTTTCATAAAAAAAAAAAAAAAAAAAAACAGCATGTGGTAAGATTATTAACTTATGAACTCACACAGAATCCAAAACTTTCTGTATTTCATCTGAATTTTTATCAGTCTCTGTTTGAAGAGTAGTAGCTGAAGCATTTATCAGTTTGTCAACTTTGCTAATGCTGTTTTGGATTTTAGGAGGCAGAAAAAATTGATCTACTCCTACTCCTTTTGCAGCAGATAGATACTCTGACACGGTAGTGAGATTTTGGACAGTATTATCTGCCTGATTCACTACATAATTTAGTGTACTTGAACAACTGTTATGAAACTTTTCCTGTCCAATGTAAAGAACAATGCATCCAATACTGAAAAAAGAAGGGAAGACAAGTAGGGTTAGAAACTGTCTTTCTAATATATGCATATGTGCATTCGATATGAAGAAAAAATTGGAATTGACTTACATTGCAGAAATAGTGAAGAATATGAGAAACGTAAGAGAAAGTACATATGCAGTTCTAGAATAGCCATAATTCTTCAGTTGGCAGAAACAACGTCGAATACAGAGGACTAATAAGGTCACAGCAATTCCCAGAAACCAGATTACAGTAATCAGAAGTATCGGAGCAGCAGTATAAGCAACAGACTGCATAAGAAACAGGATTTTATGGTCATCAAAATAACGTTAAGAAAAAAAAAAGTAAAAACAAATAAAGTGGGAATTAAGATTCCATTTGTATAAATTGAAAACTGTCACAATACAGTAGAACCAAGCAAACCCAGAAGAAAAATTTAACTCAAATTCTTGGAAAAGAAAGTTCCACAGTGAAAAGAACATAATTAGTAGACTCTAATAAATTTAATGCACTACCAAAACATTTAGATGCCGATTGAATTTGGTTCCAAGGAAACTCACGTAGAAATAATGTTTTTCACTAATATTCCATCCACCTTTGTAGTACTTAAAATTGTCAGAAGGATCTTTCCTGTGTGTTCTTTTTGCAGCTAATATCATATACTTGTTTTCAGCAAGAAGAGACCTCTTCCTTGTTTCCCATGAAACGACCATGTCGTTATGGGCCTCGTCGACAATCCCTATGTAAAACCATTTCAGATGGTGATACTAACAAAGTTCTGAACAAAACAATGTGCAAAGCTAAACCCACTACTTGAAACATATAGAGTTCACTCGTTTTTCAATTTTATAAGAAAATAAAATAATTAAAGAACTTACCTTGAAGGTGAATCTGAGAAGCTCCAGTAGAGCCTGAAAGGATAGTTGAAAAAATGAGGAGGAAAGTTGGTAGGACAAAAAATGGCACTGATTTGATACACAACATTGTATTTTCTTGTTAGTTTTTGTATCTAAGAAAACTCATATTCAGATAATTGAAGTAATAAGCTTTGATATTTATAGATGTTACCAAAGTGAGAAGGATTCAGCTTTTTGAGCATGTACCTGTTTTTGGCATTTCCTTGTTTGAATTCCTTTTTGTTGCTATATTATGTCTATAAAATATTTTTTATTTGTTCTACTTTTTGTTATTATAATTTGAGCTTTCATGATCTATCATTTGAAATAATTTTAACTGTTAAATTCAATAAGGTTACACTATTCTGCAAATTGGTTTTAACTTTTAACAATTACACAACAGAATCTCAATCTCTTGAATCATTCCAACTTACATTATATTTAAAAGAGAAGTAATTGACAATTGATTGATGAGAATTATATGATGTTCTAAAAATCATAACTAATGTTAGTAGGTTGTCCTAAGTTATGACATCAACCATCATATTATATACATATCATCAAAGGCCAACAGATAACTGTCTAATAGTAGTTCTATGAATCACCAACTTATGTACCAGTTTTCCTACACTTAAGCTTCAAGAACATTGATCTTGATCACTTCATTTGGTTCAATCTTGGGCAGTAATGACCATCTTCTAAAGTCTGAACCTTTTGCAATCAAATCGAGCTCTCTTGCTCTCTTGCTCTATCTAACCATGTAGTTTTCGCCCTTGATGCTTCGAAACAAGACTCCAATATGTTATTTCTGGGAGAATTGCAGTAAGTATTAGGCACCTCCTCGGTCAAACGGATTCTGTTCTTTACTGTCCATCATCTTCTTAGTATAGTTCCTTTTTTGTCTCTCTCTTCCATAGACTATCCACATGATCAAAGCACACATGGCAGAAGCTCCAACAGTAACCAACCCAGCATAGGTCCTAAAACTATACATCCTAAGGCCAGGACAATAATCTTCACTTATCTTTCTGAAAGTTCTCAGAACAAACTTGCACTCTCCTATATCAAGAAGGAGATGATCAGAGGTGTACAATTTGTAACTGACATTCACAGCAGCTGTCATTTGACCATATACTTTAGGTGTTAAGCGTCCTGTAGTGTTGCAAATACCAAATTCTGAAACTTGACAGATATACTTTTGCCATTCCTGCAGAAATGCGTAATTTAGAGAAGAAATAGAAAAAGACTGAGACAACCTCCAGGGCTGAAAATCTCGATTTAAAAACCTCCAATCAGAGCCACTTTAACTGTTTGATATTGAACTTACCTGCGCGACATTGTTAAAGTTCACTTCTGCAGTATTGCAGTCTCTTTCTGTTAAATCAGGATTGAAAGGATTACAAAGGAGGGGCACCAATGGACCAGATTGATTGTGGTAGACAATTCCTGCATTAGGTTGCATGTCCTTATTCGGAACCTCCATGATGTACCTGTTAAGGATGTTGATCACATAAGAAGATGTTTCTTTCGTTGTTCTAATGGTTTCTGCTGTAGTTTTATTGTCCAAACAAGGTAGAAACTGAAGACTTAATGATGCATTAGCTCTTGGGTTTTCAAGCCAGTCATCCACGGCAACACATGTGTCTGCTACCACACTGAAAGTAATTTGATCAAATCGGTTAAATTTAGATTTAATACAGATCAAAAACTACAGACTTCCATTCTTCAAGAGAGAGGAAAAATAGGTTAATTATTAAAAATTTGTTAATTCTATATGCCAAATAATTAATCTAGTCTATTAATGCAATACAAGTAGAAACCAATGGGACTTACTTGTGCAAAATAAGAAATATTCCACATAAAATAAATGTCACTGTGACAAGGATCCACGCTAAAGTAACCAATCTGCAAGATTTTGATTCAAAGGGGAAAAAAAAAAAAGACACAGAAAAACTTTATATAGAAAAAACCCAAGCAAACCGCGGAAAAAGGTAGCAAACTATTTAGATGAAATATATATCACTCACATGTAAATGCAGCATTGCCGGCCAAGAAGTGAAAATACTGCAATCAATTATTATAACAAATATTATGAGGCAAAAATCATAAAATACTTAGAATAAGTAAAATCGAGAGGACAAAATTGATAATCTTACAGAAACCAAGAAATACCAACACAAGCATCACAGAAGCAACTATGTCGAGAGCCAGCCTCCTTCGAGAAAGAGCAAAAGCTAGTTTAAGAATAAAAAATAATAGAAACCTTGAAAATAAAATATTTCAAGAGGCGATTTGCTCACGTAGGGCTTAAAACATTTCGAATGTTTTTTGCATTTGCCACTGATTGGATTTGAGAAATGTTAGCTGTAGCCAGCATCATTTGGTCTACAACATCAATTTGGTGCTTGATATCATCAGGAACAGGAACTTCATCAATTACAAGCTTACAAGCTGAAGAAAGTGTATTCAAAATACTCAAAAATTGGTTTAATATGGATAGAGCTTCCTGCAGAACAAATTCCAAACAATCTGCTATGCTGTCGTTGAAGTGTTCCTGGTTTACGTATAGAACAATACACCCAGCACTGAAAATCAAAACCCTAATCAGCTTAAACTCACTAACGCCCCATTAATATGTTACATTATCCAATTATTTATAGTTGATTAACTAATCATATTTATATAATTTATGTAAGAAATCTTATCGCGATATGTATCAGCTAACAGCTATCGGTTACCAGGGAAAAGAAATTGGTAATAGTCTCTAATAAAGAAAGTAGGTAGATTGATGTATATTACCTTACTCCAGCAGTAGCAAGTGTAAGGAAGATAAGTGAAAGAGCATATGCAATTGGAGAATAGCCATAGGTCTTCTTGTGCCTGCAACAGCAACAACAAATGCAGGCAAAAAGAAGGAATAGGCCTAATAGCACAAACCAGACCACAGCAGTAATGAATAAAGGAGCAGCAGAGAAGGCAACAGACTGCATTATTGAAAATAAATATATCAGTTAATAGTAATTCGGAAATGCACCCAAAAAAAAAAAAAAAGAAACCATTTGTACATAATACCCACATGAGAGGTTTAACCAAATTAATATTTTTTTTCCAAAAATGAGGATATTTTTTATTCTAAGAAAAAAGTGTAGAATGAGAACAAATTTATTTAATATATTTGAAAGAGCAGGTGGAAAATAAAAGATAGAACATAGAAGAAGATGTGTTTCGTTAAAACTGTCTTCTTTTATTTTCCGTCCATCAACACATTTAAAACAGATCATCCAACATATTTAAGCAATTTTTTCTGGTCTAATTATCTGTAATTCCTTCTAGCAAGTTTTAAAAAATAAAGCATGGTGGTGGCAATCATTTTCGAAATATTAATTTTCGGAAAAAACATTTTATATATATATATATATATATCTAAGAAAATAAGTGGTGAATTGAAAACAAATTTATTTTAATTATTATTTGAAAGAGCAGTGGTAAAATATAAGATAAACATAGAAGAAGATGTGTTTCGTTTAAAACTGTTCTTCTTTTATTTCCGATCCATTCAACCACACTATTTTAAAAACAATCATCCAAACATATGTTAAGCAATTTTTTCTGTTCTAATTATCTGTAATTCCTTCTAGAAGTTTTAAAAAATTAAAGCATAGTGATGGTGGTGTGGCTATATCATTTTCGAATATTGGAATTTTCGGAAAAAACATTTATATAATATATATATATATATTATATTAATATATATACACACACATACATATAAATTAACAGCGATAGTTAAATGATTATAGGAGATGTTATATACACACACATACATATAATTAACAGCAAGTTAAATGATTAGGAGATGAAGAAATTAACTTACAGCCCAGTAATGGTTATTTTTATAATCCCATCCACCTGTATAATATTCAAAATTCTGAAGAGGATCTTTCCTGTGTGTCCTTTCTGCTGCTAATATAACAATTGTTGAATTCTTTTCAATTCCTTTGGTTCCCTCGAACACCGTATTTAATGAATTTAATGTTTCTATTCCTCGTATTACAGCATGGAAATCTTCATTCTTTGTTCCTGTAAATATATCCAAATAAGCATGCAAATTCAAATGCCATGCACGTGTTACTCAAGAATATCGCAACTTTATTTGGATAAGAAAAATGAATTAAATATGTGTACCTTGGAACTCAAAAGCTTGTGAAAGTGATAGGAAGGTTGAAGAAATGAGAAACAAAGTCGGTAAAAGAAGCAACCATGGCTGAGGTTTGGTGGAGAGCATATTTGTATTTTCTTGGTGGAATTTTTGAAAAAGAAAAAAAGGTTCTATAATTCATGCATAAAATCTGGGGTTTTTGTGATAAAAGGGGAAGAAACATTCCTGTTGAATTATCAGAATGACAAGATGGTTTTTTTCTTCTTTAGGGTAAATAATTACATTTAATTATATGTATCTATTTTTGGGTTTATTATTTATTAACATGTTATATATGAGGTCTAGGATAAAACTGCAATCTGTACAAATTTAAATATGCAATCTAGGCTATGGTCATATAGATTTTGCCATTTTTGATGATAATGGAGTTAGATTTTAGCATGTTCTATTATCAATGGATATACCCATTATAGAAAGGTAATCCAATTTCAATTTATGGAGAAGAAAGAGTTATAAATACGCTTTTGATTTTAGATTTTAAGATATCATTAAACCAAAATTCATCCGCTAATTTTTATTTTTTATTTTTATATCAGGAATTATTTTATTAATTTTAGTGGAACCAATCCAACTGTAAAAGCAGGGATAAACAGCTTTTTAGACCCTATCAAGGGATACCCTTTTCTTGATATGTTATACTATGAAAGATATTATAGTTCAAACCAGAAAGGATTATCCTAACCACATGTACTACTGGCAACAGCACCTAGTTAAAACCAAAAAGGGTTTATTATTATTATTACAAAGAACTAAAAAAAAGGGTTCTTGTCATTTTATATATGTCACTTTCCTTTCTGAAGAAATATCAGGGGAGAACAATGCAAATTGGGATCAGGAACCATTTAACCAAATCGAGTAGCCCATTTCGCTACCGGTTCATTATATTCAGCTTTATTGTAAACCAAGAGTAAAATGGAAGTAACTGTTAAAACCTGCAAAAAATATGATTCAATTCTCCTTTTCCTTCCTTTCTCCCCTTTGAAATGATGCAGGCAATCACAGGTCAACCAGCGGAATTAACTTCTTCCTGATGCTCCAAAGAGTACGAACATGTAAAATGCTACAGTTCATCAAACGAGAATCAATGTACCTCTATGCTTACTTGGGCTGAATGAAGAGGGAAGAGGGGAGAGGGAAGCAAGCCACCATGAAATATAAGGCTAAAATTTGCCTTCCTAACTCTATTGTATCGTATGAATTCATGAAAAATACCAAGAGATACCATAAATACCGCTCCAACAGGCAACTATCTTCAACAGAAATAGAGAAAATTATTAACAAAAGGCGCGAGCAAAATCTAGCATAATGCAATACAAATAACTGTGTATCAATTCAAATTTTCCTATTCCATGAAGTTGCAAACATGAATAGGAAAATCTACATATCGAGCTCTTAGTTCACTAATCTTAGCTGCCAGATGACTAAAAGATGTTTGCTTAATTATTTTGCTCGCCAGTCTTCCCTGTGTCTCCACTGCAACAGTAGAAGTGTGGCAGCTTAACCTTACCACAACTCCTGAAACCAAAAATGTATAGAACAAATTATTCACTGTGGCACTAACATACTTAAAAAAACATTCAAAGAGATGGATCATAGTAGTTTTCAAAATGAACTTGTTCAGTTTCACATCTCCATTTACGTGCTTTTATTATAATTCTCTAAAATTTCCATGTTTTCAGAGCCCTTCCAATCAAAAAACACAGAAAGGGAAAAAAAAATAATAATAAGGGAGTGAGATGGAGCAATGCACTCTAGAGATCACTTGCAAGCTATAGTAGAAAATAAAGAAAACAAAAGTTGCTTCTTAGAAAATCTGACTTTTAGAAAAATTATAAATCGTCATTTTATGGAGATTGAAATTTCTAAGAGTCAGATCAGAGTTGTTTATTTGGCAAAATTTTTTAATGCCAAAGTAAAGTTTCTGCAATAGAGATTCAAACATCTTCTAGTTCTGCAATAGTAATTCAAACATCTCCTAACTACTGAAATCAGATTAAAGTTCACAAACATTTCTCAGCGAGCTAATTTCTCAAAATTTCCTACACCATTGGCAAAACTTACCTGCAACGGATAATCACTGGAATTGGTTTCAAAGCCTTTGGTCCGTTTCGTATGCCTCTCTTGTGGGGAGAAACCTGCATGATTTACAGAGCATTAAATATCACTGATGTATATGTGTGTACATAAAATAAAAGATACAAAGGTTTTCACTCTTCAAAACCATGATTTCATAGGGAAGTTCTAATCACTAGCTAAACAGCCAAAAATTAAAACACATGCTCATAACAGAACCTCTAATGACTAATTATTAGCAAGGCTGCTTTGGATAATTGCGAAAGGAAATAAAAACGGAGACTTTCAAGAGGCCAAGGGCAACCGTCCATGGATTCATACATCTGAACTGCGCATTAGCTACGCAATCAAAATCAGACTGCCAAGAGATTCAAGGATCAATTTAGAAATTTTTAATGCATTTGATATGTAGTTATTCCAGTAACCAGTACTACAAGGAAAATAAAAAGGCAAGAAGTAGAACACCACAGAGAACAATAGAATTTTGGAGAAGCCAAGTCGATCAATCGAAAAGTAAAACTATCAAGTAGCCCCAATCCCAAACCCCAATACATTACCCTTCACTAAAACCCAAAACCCTAGTTAGCACAAAAACCACAGAAAAATAAGCAAAACCCAAATCCTAAATAGCAAGAAACACAAATAACAAAGAATATGCCAATAATAAGAGTAACTATTATGAAAGCAATCTACAATTACCTTCCTTTTTGGAACGGCCATCAGTTCCATGGATCCACCAAAAGAGAAACTCCGGAACCCAAATTCTAAGTTTTTATTATAGTTTCTACTGCTATTATCTGGGGTTTGATCGAACTCCGGCAAAACCATAAGTGGAGGTGCGATCGTGCGGTGGAGCGAACAATCCAACGGAGGTGAAATGGCTGCTGCGTGAATCCATCTCAAGAGCCCTAACGTGCATCCATTATTGCCGCCGCCGGCTTTTAGCATCCCCAGTCTCAACGCCATTGTTATGATGGATACAGGAATCTCAATTTAGGTCTGTGGAGTGTACCGTGATTTTGGCGAAGAAGAAAAGAACAAGTGAAAATAGAATAAAACGACCGCGTTTGCTTTGTGTGGCATTTTCCTTTTCGCGCTATATTTTTTATTTTTTGGGTTAATTATATTTATAGCATCGGAATTTTTCAATTTTTTATATTTTAGTATTTGAATAGGAAAAATTTATAATTGAGGCTTCTTTTATTTTTTTTTGAAATATAATTAATTTGTTTGAAAAATATTTTTCAGATTTTCCTATGTTTAGAAAGTCGAGGAGAATTAATCAATGGATAAAATTTTTTAGTCAAAAGAAAAGTTAAGTTATTTTTAATATGGTTTATAAGTTAAAATTTTTTTAATATTTTTAACTAGTTTTAAATATTCAAAATGAATTATTTAGAAAATGTTTTTCAAGATTTTTCAGAAACAAATGGAGGCAAATGCTTGAATTAATAATTTTTATATAATTAGGTGTATTTAACCAGAATTTCTCATTAAAAATCAAATCAACTGCATGGTTAATATAATTTTTAAAATTTTTTTCATAATAAAACCGGTATTCAAACCAAAAATTAAAAAAAAAGAAATTTGAACTAAATTGCTTTAACGTTGTTTTTTAGGTTTTTTCAGAGTTTTCTCATCCCACTTCCAAATCCAAGACAAAAGATTTAAAACATCAAGAAAATAATACAATAATATTCCAAAAACACATAAAAATCAATACAATCTTGTCATCATTACAATCAAACTAGTGTACAGTTTCTCATATTATTGGAAGAACACACAAAACCTAACAATCAGGCAACCAATATTCAAACTATCCCATGAAAATAGGGTCCTCAGCAGGAATTGAAAAAAAAAAAAAAAAGAATAATAAAGGAATTGCCATATTAATTAGATGAAGTGGCTGCGTTGATATGAAATATGCGAGCGCAATTATAAACAGAGCAAAAGGCTTGTAATGTCATCAAAAGCAAAAGAAAAATTGCAGCTACTAATGTAAGAAATTGCCAAGAACCAAAAACATAATGTTTCACGAAATTCCCAACTTTAATCTTCCATCTCCCATCGTAATACTTGTTAACATCTTCAATAACCTTATCCAAGAAAGGAACTTTCGTTAACCTAATGGATTTGCTCATTCCATTCCATAAATCTGCAGCTTCTTGATCACTCTTTAGTCTGTTCAAGATTATACCTTTTTCTCTTAGTAACTTGACATCTTCATCAGTATCAATAATCCCATTCATCAATTCAGTGTATCGCGTAAAAACCAATGGTCCTGATGCGTTTGATGCTTCATATGCTACTAGGTTTCTCAAAACCACTTCAGTGTTCACATCTATACTAACTATAGGGAGATAAAAAGTGACCATCTTAGCATCAAAATTAACACTTGAAATATTACCTGTAGTGGGTGAGAAACGAACTCCCGATTTAACAAGATCAGTAACACAAGGAATTGCAATTTCCTCTACCAACGGGGGCTTGTTAGCTTCGTTGTTTTCCTTTTCTGGTTTGGTCTCTTCGTTATCTTCTTCCGCGAAGAAAAAATATTGAACAGGTTGTTTCAAGATTGTAAAACCAGGAAGGTTGGAAAGAATTGTCCAAGGCAGTTTAAGTACAAGTTTAACGGGTCTTGAAAATAGTATCTTTTTAAGAAACCTGAAAGGACCTTTATTTATTTTTGAAATTATTTTCCATATTTCACTAAAAAGATCCTTTATATAGCTTGAATTGCCAGAAGATCTTTCTTTCCCTTGCATGGCCTCCAAATCATCCCCGACCACATCTGTTATCTCCGGCACAGGCGGAGCTTCCACTTTTGGTACAATCATGTCGTACAAGTAGTCTAGCAAGTGAGAACATTGAGAAATTGGAATTTCTTTTGAATCTTTCATCATTTTAAAAGGCGAAAGCTCTTTGCAAAACCCATCAAGCATTGAGAGAAGCATTTCGTCAGCGAATTCTATGGAAGAAAATTGAATTTCTAGAATTTTTCTTAATACAAATAAAGGAATTTGATTTTCAAGCATTACCATATCTCTAAGAATAGCATTATGAGCTGATTTTCTGCCGGCATAATCAACTAAATGCGACATTCTTGAAGAAACACTGGGAATTACCATTCCTTCTCTGACAGCGTAGATTTGCAAGAACTCCAACAAGAACGATGCATCAATAGCCATCATCCAAACTAACATTTCATTGCTGAAATCCAAGAACTTATGGTAACAGGTTCGAATTTTTGGTTCAAGCTTGTTTAAGTGATCTACAAGATTTTCAAATTTGAGGTTGCGCAGTTGTTTTTGAGTTCTTTTTGCAGCTGCGAGCTTATATCTCTCCATTTCATAAACCTCCGGCCGCCAGTGATGGTAAGGGCCGATAGCGACTTGTTGTGGAGTGTAAGAGTCTGGATCTGTAGTCATCAGGATTTTGGGGACGTTGAAAATGGAAACGGGAGTTTCTGTTTCGTTTTCGGATTCTTCTTCGATGGATCTACGAATGTGAATTATCCATAGGCTTTCATCGAAGTTTGGGTTGGAGGACATGATGGATTGGAGAGAAGACATGTTTGTGTGGAAGAAAGTTAGGGTAATGGAAGTTTTCTTTTTTGTTGTTGTTGCAGTTTATTGATTTACTGATAGGAGAGTTAGAGATCAGGCATTTATTGAGGATTAATTGATGTTAACTCCTGTAGTATATTTCAATTCAACTGCAAGAAAAATGAGTTTCTTCTTTATAATAGTAAATGGTTCCATTAAAAACAATTCAGTTTACTTTGATTTTTTAATAATTTGATTTGATTTGATTTAATTTTGATTGAACTTTAGTTATTTTGATTTAATTTAATTTAATTTCATTCAAAAAATAAAAATTATGTAAAAATATAATTATTGTAATTTATAATTAATATATTTTTGTTACATAACTTGAAAAACTCATTGCAAGTCAATAGTGATGATTTCAATCAACTTGATTGATCAATAACGGTACATTTGGCGTTTGAAAGTTTAACCTAAAACATAAGTGGATTTTCAACTCATGTGTAGATCAAGCTTGAGCTTTCCTCCTTTCTACTCAAAAGATAATGTTTTTTTTTTTTTTTTTTTTTTTTAGTGATGATTTCAATCAACTTGATTGATCAATAACGGTACATTTTGGCGTTTGAAGTTTAACCTAAAACATAAGTGGATTTTCAAACTCATGTGCTAGATTCAAGCTTGAGCTTCCTCCTTTCTTTACTCAAAAAGATAATTGTTTTTTTTTTTTTTTTTTTTTTTTTTTGACAGCCTCAAAAGGTTATTAAATGCACATGATAAATATGAATAAAGTAAATTATTTTTATATGTAGTAAAGTGGAGCCTGTCTTTAATATTGCTTTAACCTTCTTGTTGTTATCCAAGCATATATTCCACTCCAAAAAGGATTATATATTGATTCAGAAGTATTGTACTTGACTCTACGTTTATCTTATCCTAAGACAATTTATTTATTTATTCTTGGCACTCCTGAGGTATTTTTGACAAGAGATTAATTCATATTCAGTTGTAAGTTATTATAGTTAAAATTTTGTCTAAGATGTCAACTTCATTGCTTGATTCTTATGTTTCATTAGTTTTCAAAAATAACTGATAGAAAAATATTTTCTATAGAAAACATTTTTTTAAAAAAATATTTTTAAATGACTTATTTTTCCATTGTTTGATTGTAATATTGAAAATTAATTAAAAATATTAAAATATTTATCTTATAAGACCATAAAAAATATTAACAAATAAGACCATAAAAAATATTAACAATAATACATATTTTATAATTTAAAAATTTTATTATTAAATATGGGAATGATGCAAAAATATATATATATATATAAATTAGAAAGCTGCCGGTAGTAAATGGTAACTGATGTTAGTGACTATGATAATTAATAAATTAAAAAACGGATTAGGTTTGTCATTGTCTGAAAAATATTTTACTCTCTTAAAAATGAAAAGTTAGTTTTCTTAAAAAATGACTAAATTTATTTTTTATCAGAAAAATATTTTCCGTTGACTTATTTTTCTGAACGCTAGAAATAATGAAAAATTGTGAAAATATTTTTGTGTAAGTTATTTTACAAAAACAAACGGAGCCTTATACCATGAAGATAAAATTTGACATGCTTAACTACTAAATCAAGCTGTCTTTGACAAAATTTATTCATTTGCTTGTTTTGTTTATATGGCATTTGATTACCGAAATTCAATTTTATTATGCAATTTACCTTTTTAAGAAAATAGAATTCCATATATATAAATTAAATTATTGTATTTGGATGATAATAAAAGTTTTTCGAAAAAATAGTATATAATTAGGACGAATTAAATGTTACCTGTATAGTTTAAAATGTTTTATTTTCTAGAGTAATCTAATTTTTTTCACCAAAGTACCTTTCCACATATATTTAGCCCAAAAAAAAAAATTTTGGATGGATATACATGCTCAAAAATTTAATTTTTTATGAAAAAAATATCAACTAAATATCAAAGTTCGACTCTCCTATAACATTTAAACAATCATACAGACGAATTTTGATATTTGGCTTTGGGAATTTTCTAGGTGTGATTTAGTGCAACACGGTAGCAGCCTATGCCAAACAGGTCTTAATTTGAACATTTTACATTCTTTCTTTATTGTTTTTTTTTTTTTTTTTTAAGTTATAATTGTTTTCACTCACATGTTTTGTGTGAAAAATTAAAAATAAAAAGAATGTTACATGTTGTGATAAGGTTGAATAGTCTAATGTTGGTTGTTTTTCAATTATAATTAGGTGTCATCAGTGGTGGTTATTGAGTTGATATATGTCTAGAGTACTATGTTTTTATTTGGATTATTGTTATTGTTTTATATTTCTTTTTATCTTAAAAATAAATATTAATAACCTTTATTTAATCAACATAAATAATGTTTTCTTACTATTAGAAATAGTAGAAAGGCTGGAGGGTTGAAAATAAGTAATGTGGGTTACATAGGCAATAAATGCTAAAAGATTAATACTAATCGATCGATTACTAACTTGTTTTCCTTTTTATTACCTTTTATGAATTTAATATTCAGTCGATATAGAATTCTTAATAGCAGTTAGTTCAAACTTCACTCATCCAAAGGCAATGTTGAGGTATTTATGGCATTGGGCATTTGCAATTAACTAAAATTTTATATATTTAATTGTCCCATAATATAGAAATTTCTATCTTTTGTTTTCTTTCTATTCTTTAAGTAAAAGTAAAAGAAAGAGGGTCCATAGGATTGGAAGATACGTAAAAAAAATTGTAATAGAGTTCCATTGTAATGATTATTCCAATTTCTTCATAAATAAGATGTTAAGAGTATCTATTAAAGATTTAATGATCATTGCAAGCTTCTCTTTCGATAAAATATTTCAAATGAAATATAATAAGTTTCTAAGTCACTTTTTTTTTTCTCGTCTTAAAACTTATAGAATAAAAGTGCCATGCTATTATTAAAGTGCATCTGAGCTGTTTAATCCAATTCTTTATTCTGATATTCACCTTCTAAGTTTTTTCTTTTGTACTTAATTATATTTATATCAAATTTTTTATTATTGTTTAGATTTTAAAATGAAAAATGTCCCATACATTTTCCTTTTTTCTTTATTTTTATACCATACCCATAGAGCTAAGCCACAGTAGGCCTAAAGCCGGATCTAATAGGCCATGAGACGTAGGAATTGGTGTGTTGGACGGCAGATTGTTGAAGGACATGCTAGGGAGTAGGGATACTCAGCGTAATGCTCTCTGCCACTTAGAGCCGGCATACGAGATTGAACCTTAAGTGGACTAGAATGAAAATACCATATTCGAGTAAGTCGAGATGATGTCTATATATGCCTCCTTCCACGAAAGATTTGGTATAGATAGGACTAGGCTGTACGGAACATATGAATCTCTCTATTGGAAGTTCTTAATGTCGATTGCACTGATAATAGCTCTATGCTAGAAAGATTTGAAACCCTTGGAGATAAATTAGTCATTGAATTCACATGAGTTGTAATCAATGGGGGCGACTTGATGGTTGTCAATATGATGATATATATATATAAGAATACAAACCAATGAGATTCAATTGTCGTAGTATTATTTGCTGATTATTGATTCAGTTTGGTTGCTTGTAAAATTAGCACTGAAATAACCAATTCTACACTAGTAATATATAAATTACTATTTCTTATTAATATATCAAGCATATTACTAATCATTTTTGTATAAATAAGGAACTGTTAGAGAAAGGTAGAATTTATTTATTCTGTTTTTTTCTTCTTTTTTTTTTTTTTTCTTTTGAGGGGGGGTGGAGAGGTATCGGGGCCAGACTGTGATATATGTTATAAATTATACTGAAAAGCCCCTAAAAAAATTTTTTTTTTTTTTTCTTTTGAGGGGGGTGGAGAGGTATGGGGCCAGACTGTGGATATATGTTATAAATTATACTGAAAGCCCCTAAAAAAATTATGAAGTTAATGGGGCAGTAAACCCACTCAAAGCTTCACTTATATGTTAAAAGTTAATGCATGAAGCATTAATGCAAAACCAGGAACAAGAAACATGCAAGCAAACAAACAATGAATTTCACAAAATTGATCAACAAGTCAAATTATTCAAAGAAGTCAAACAAATATATATATCAAAACCCAACATACCAAAGATGAACTGTTGGGGGACTTTTGTTGAGAATTATAAGTATCATCAGCAACCTGGGTGTCCAGACCCACTTAGTTCCTCTTCATATGGTCGAACATTCTCCCGACATAGCTTTGTAAGCCGCTGTTGGTAGTTGGTCGATACTAGTCCCATTCCCGGGTTGATTGCCAGGATCATTCAAGACTGCACGTCATTCCAGAAGCTATGTCTAATTAGCTACTCCCTAACACTAGATGCTCTGTAGCTAGTTCATAATCAAAGTAGTTGATAGCCCCTGCTTTCTCGCCCATAGGTATGCGCTAACTGAATCAAGGATGATCATACCCACTCTTCCTTTCTCTTGTTCTGAGTCGCTTTTATACCTCCTTCACTAACGTTCGACATTGTAATTGTACTTTATCATATCCTTAGCAGGGCCTGTTTGGTTTTCAAGAACTCAAACACACACTATGTGGACTACTTTCAGTCGAGCTCAACTCCCTCTTTTCTTCCTTTCCAACTCCTGCTCTGCTCCACACACTTTGACGCCTAATAAAAAAGAGAAACGTCTTCTTATGGTGGTAAACTCTAGAACAGAACATAGAGAAGAGATCCGTAATAATGCCCTCTCTAATTACGTTGCCGTGTGTCTGACTGGTCTCTGATGTAGAGTGTGACCCCTTTCTTCCATCTTGAGTATTAAGGTTTGGAAGGTTCTAAGTTTTTGCTATTCAGTAAACAAGAATATCCAGTTGAATCCGCTCATACAAATGACTAGGTCCTCAATTATAATAGTCAAAAGGCAAGAGAGAACCTGAGAAAGGAATTACATGTCACCAATAAGATGAAGCTGAGCACCGGCAAACACCATAAATCCTCTGGGTCCTACTGCCTCTCCTGCAAACCTCAGACCTATCACCTTGTTACAAGACCCGGTACCACTGCATCCTTTACCAACTAAATACAAAATTTATAGCCTTACGTTCATGGGGCTACAATAAGTGCAAGCCAAATGTTATGACAGGAAAGCAAAGATATCGAGTCAGAACTTTAGAACATGTCCCAAGATCAAACACTAAACAAAATCAGTAAGGGAATTGCCAAGGTGGGACATTTCCATATTGCTACAACATCTCCAACACTCAAAAGCATAACAGAAAAATCAAACCAGTTTCTGGTTCTAACTACAACATGCTTTAACGTTGACTCATGATTAAGCAGGGCAATCCTTTTAAGAGCCTTGTTATATGCTATAGCAAACAGCCTTTCCACCAAGAACAATTCTGAATATAAATACAAGCATTATCCTCCTCCTACTACCTTTGTCCTTAGCTCTTCCCTTGGTTTAGCTGAAAGTCCTTTTGCCAGCATCTCTTCATAATACTTTCTAGCCATGTCCAACATTCCCTTGTCAATTAAAGCATCAATCAATGCATTGTATGCAAATTCATCTGGAGTGCACCCATGTTCTTCCATTTTCTTCCACACTACAAAAACTGGTCGAAGAAATCCCCATCTCCCAAACTTCCTCATAAGCATCACATAAGTGTCCATCCTTGGCCAGACTCCACTCTCAATCATCCTGTCAAGCAGCCACAGAATCTCAGTTGGCTTCTCAAGATAACCGAAAAAACAATGATAAGTAATCACATCCGGCATGATATTCTTCTTCCACATCTCATCAAGTATTTTATATGCTTCCCTCACCCTTCCATTTAGGCACAAAAGCTTTATAACAGTATTACAAGTCACAACATTAGGAAAACAACCCAATTCCATCATTTCACGGTACACACGTATAGCAAAATCCACACCCTTTGACAAGCCAACGGCATGGATAACAGTATTATATGCCACAACATCCAAAGTTATACCCTTTTTCTTCATTTCCTTAAACAATTTCTCCGCCTTCCATGGCTTCCCACTTTTGCATAATATATTCATATATATTGAATAAGAATGCAAATCTTTACACACTCCTTTCCTATCCATCTCCTCCCAAAACTCCCTACACTTACTCCACCACCCCATTTTAAACCACCCACGCAAAATCAGATTATAAATTTTAGTTTTATTCTTCACAAATAATTCAGTATTCACTTCCATATTCTTTCCAAAGCAGAACTCTTGAGCCTCAATAACATGCTTATGTTCACAAAGAGCATCAACAAGATGACAATAAGATATCTCATCTTTCAAATTGAATTCCTCTAATCTATCAAAAACACTTATAGCTTCATTAACAAGATGGGCAGATAAATATCGCTTAAACAATATTCGAAAAGTGACATGATTTGGCATTAAAAATGGCGTCTTCTTCATTTTATAAATCAAATCCCATGAAAGATCAAATTCAAAGAACTTACCCAATATGTCAATCATTTGATTGTATGTTTCTGTAGTGTGTTTAAATTCGCATTGTGTTTCGACCCAGTTGAAAAAGTCAAAAGCGCTTTTCCAGTCGTTTCTGTATAATGAGAGGGTTTCAAGTACAGTGTTTGTGTCAAAATTTTGGGGGTTTAGTTGGGAGTTTGGAGTTTGGGAGTGTAAATGTGAAGCGGATTTTGTTGAGAAAAACTCGGTGGTTAATCGGAGAAGAATTTGAGTGGAGTTTAGGCGTCGACTGAAGATTGAAGAGAGCATTGTGTTATTAAGTTATGCGATAACCAAATTCCGAAACAGAGAGTGACTGGTTTTGAGTTTTTAGCATCAATTTAATAAAGAGATATAGACAGGAGATGGAAGACGGCGCTGCTGAAAAGATTTCTCTTATTGTTTTTCACCAAAATAAATAAAACTTTTTTTTAAGGAAATAAACAGCTTTTTTTTTTAAGAAAATACAAAAAGACTGGGGAGGAGATTCCAAAGTCAATTGCATAATCTGTTAGTAATATAGGTTAAAGAAAATTAATTTTTTCTCAATTAGTAGATTGATACATGAATTTTGTAAGACAAAATTTAATGAGACCCTTAATTTTTGAGTAAATCACCCTAATATTAAAGTTCTGTTATTATTCCATCCCAATTTAAAATTATGACTTTGAAAATTGATAAAAAAAACTAGCATTCTTTTTTTTTTTTTAATACTTGTACGAGCTATCCAGGTCGTGTCCGTTTTAACAGTCCATAAATTTGACTAATCCTCACTCACCCTTAAAGACAAAGGCGTTGGTCCGGGATAGACATTCTTATTATTAGAAGTAACTATCTATGTTTACACTCATTTCATATCCATCATTGATATTGATTTTTCCAATTATAATCTATTTATTAATATCCATATTTCATAATTAAGGAATCTAAGTGGACGGAATACACATGGTGCTTCTATTTTGATCCTATTTAATATTTTTCTTTTTTTTTTTTATTTTAACTAACCAATAATTTCTGAAATGTTACATATAATAGAAAATGAAAGGATTACTAATAAAAGTGAAGAGAAAAAGTGAATCCTCTGGCACAAACCAGTCTCATATGTGTCCATAGACCAAGAATGTTGATCATGAATATTGCTACTCCACACATGGAAATTTTTAGGAAGGATACCATTAATTTTGGTGTATGTACTTATCATTTTCTTCTATTTTAATATCTGAACGGAAAATTATGATAATTGAGTGTCTAAATTATAATTTTTTATTTATTTTTGTATCTCACGATGACATGGACTACCGAAAAATCTAATGAGACTAATTCGGCGCTTACACGACCGCTTATGTAGACTGACTAATTTTATATATAGGACATTAGTGTGGTAAAAGGGATAAAATGTCCCATTTGCCGGTCTTTAATATCGCCCAAACACAATCTAATACCCCTTCTTCCTCTCTCTTTCGGATTACAGGATTATTATCCACAATTTTCGTCATTTGAGTCCCTCTCTTTTTTTCTCTCTCTATTCTCCAGTAATAGTTTAGGTTCGGTTTTTTATTTTCACCTCTATCTTTCTTTCTCTTTTGGTGACCGTCACATAGTCTTGTGCTTGGTAGGTTGTGCCATGGAGGTAAATAGACCCTCCACTCCACTGAAGATTTAATTTTTGGAAAGAAAGTTCTATATCTCTTCCTCCTCCTCTTCTAGTGCTCCTTTGCCTCCATTTTCACGTTATTTCGTATTTGGATATTTTCACTTCTCTTATTGGAACATAAGTTTTGGGTTTCTTTTCATCCTTCCCACTTTCTCTATATGAAGTAATTTTGTGAGGGTTTTTCATTTGGGTTTTCGATTTTGGATATGAGTTTTCAAAATAATTTGAGAAGAGAGGAAGAAAGGAGGTGTTGGATTATGTTTGGGTGATATTAAAGGGGGGCAAATGAGACATTTTATCTCTTTTGTTACGATAGAGTCTTACATGTAAAATTAATCGGTCTACATAAATAAACATGTAGACGTCTGTGGGTCCTAAATAGTTCCATTAAATTTTTTGGTAGTTCATATTGTCGAGACACCAAATTGAAATAAATTATTAGTCTAGACACTCAATTATTGCAATTTTTTATTCAAATACGAAAATAGAGAAAATGACAAATATAAGTACCAAAATTAACATTATCCATTTTTAGCATGTGCACAAATTTTGATAAAGAAAAAAACAGTCAGTCTTACCAGTCACTTGTATTTATTTTCTTTCTTTTCCACTTGCATATCGCTACTCTGCTCTCTTTCTAGTTCTCTTCGCCACCAAATGGCGGCTGCAATGCAAGTTAACGTTAAACCAATTAGAGCCGCTTTCACGTCTAAACTCGCTTCCAAACACTCCCGTAAATCAAATAGAATCAGTTGCGCTGCTGCTGCCGCCACACCATCCAAACGCTACTTCATCACTCTCCTCCCTGGTGATGGAATCGGTCCCGAAGTCATCTCCGTGGCCAGGAACGTCCTCAAGCTTGCCGGTTCTCTTGAAGGTTCGGTTAACCCTAATCCTTCTACCAATGTTTGGTTCCTAAGAAAATGAAGGAAAATAAAACTAGGGTCTTTACAATTTTCTTGTTGCATATTTCAGGCATTGAATTTAGCTTCCAAGAGATGCCAATGGGTGGATCTGCTTTGGATTTGGTAGGAGTTCCATTGCCAGAGGAAACCCTTTCTTGCGCTAAGCAATCTGATGCTGTTCTTCTTGGAGCTATTGGAGGGTATTTATTGTTTATTTAATCTCTGTTTTGTTTATTGTTTAATTTGTTGTATATTTAAAGGAAAAAAGCTTTGATTTTTTTTTTTAATGTTCATTTTAAGGTATAAATGGGATAAAAATGAAAAAAATTTGAAGCCAGAAACTGGGCTCCTCCAGTTAAGAGAAGGTCTTAAGGTCTTTGCAAATTTGAGACCAGCTACTGTTTTACCTCAGGTGATCCATTTGATTTTAGTTTAATGCAATTTTCATTTATTTACGTTCACTTTTCTTGTTCATCTGTTTCAGCACAAAAAAAAAAAAAAAAAAAAAAAAAAAAAAAAAATTTTCAAACTTTTTTTTTTGCTTGTTTCCGATCTGTTTCAGCACAAAAAAAAAAAAAAAAAAAAAAAAAAAAAAAGGAAAAAAAAAAAAAAAAAAAAAAAAAAAAAAAAAAAGGAAAGGAAAGAAAAGAAAAGAAAAGAAAAGACCTAATTTCGGATTGAAATGCATCATAGTAGATTATAGAACCATACTTACCCACACAAGGGTTCTAGAAGTGGGCACAACTGAACTTTCTATTGAGAAAAATGTTTCCCTTGAAAAAAACAAACAATTGAAATTGAGTTGTCTCATGAATTCGGCTAGGAAAGCTGTTGCTTTTCAGCAATGCATATGATAATGTGTAGTTGAAAAATGGTATAATATTCCTTACTGTGCCATCCACATGTCCTTTTTTTTCCCTATGCTCCTACCCTGCTCTTTAGTAGTAGAGTTTGCCTGTAGAAGTATGTTAATATTATTATTCACTCTTTTAGTTAGTGGACGCTTCAACTTTGAAGAAGGAGGTTGCCGAAGGCGTTGATGTAATGGTTGTGAGGGAGCTTACTGGAGGTCAGTGTGGATTGAGTAAAGTAGAACAAAATATAATGGCTTTCTGTTATAGTCCATTATAACTGCTCCTTTTTCTTTTCTTTGTAGATTGCTTATGCATACAATAATTCTATCTCGGTATTAAGGCATAGTTGTTATTGTATATAATAATAAAATAAAACATCATACTTTATTTTGCTGGAAACAGGTATTTATTTTGGAAAACCAAGGGGTTTTGGCACCAATGAATCTGGTGAGGAGATTGGCTTCAACACTGAGGTGTATGCTGCATATGAGGTAGACTTCTGAATTTATTTAGATGTAAATTTCATTAAATGCATAGTTGGTCAACCACAACTTATTGAAAATAATCTTTTGTTCTGTTTGACTCTATTTTCCTCAATATTTCTGCCATTCTGTAGTTTCTTCATTGTTAACTCTTTAGTGTTAGTTAATTGAGATGAATTGGACTTGATATTGCTTTGAGATTGTAATGCATTGTTAGATAAGCATGTGCCACTTTCAAATTTGTTTGTTGATAAATTTCTTTTCTGAATTCTGGTAATATTTGGGTAATTGTTTGTAAATCTTTGGGGTCATCAGCTGTCTCTAGGAATACCAAGAGAATGGTACTTGGAACTTTGGTTGGGTTCTTGTTGTTATTATAACATCTTTTGTCTTTTGCATGCTTTGATATGAAATTCCTTTATGTCTGTTCAACTTTAACTCCTAAGGGAGTAAAAATCTAAAACTCACTTTGGTGGAGTTTGCGTGTATCAATTTATCTTTTTATGTCATTACACAAACATGCATGTTCACCAATTTGCCTGCCACTCTTTCAACAAGATGCATTGCCTTGATTTCTCCAGCTATTTTTATCACATAGTAAATTCCATTCATTTTGTTTGTGCCTTTTCATATGTTGGAAGCTCATAAATAGCATATGTTCAATTATGAATCATTGGTTGAATGTCTTTCTTATTTTGTTAAATGCTTTAATAATTCTTTCATAAATGAGTTAATGTGGAAAGAAACGTGAACAGATTGATCGCATTGCTCGTGTTGCATTTGAGACTGCAAGGAAGCGACATGGAAAACTCTGCTCTGTTGACAAAGCAAATGTCTTAGAGGTATGCAGCATTATTTGAAACCTTTTCTTCTGGCCCTTATTTTTTTGCTTTCATTCATCTTGTGCACTCAATAGTAAATTACATATGTCAACTTATGGAAGTTGGTAGTCATAATTTACTTAAAAAGGATTGTAATTTTCTTTTCTTGTTGGCCTGGTTTTATGGAGTTGCCAGAGTGCAGATTCTGTTATGTCATTGAGCCTCCAAGCATGTTTATATAGTCTTCCACAAAAATCTTCTTTCCCCTTTCCTTCCATTCAGCTTTGGGTTGTGAGCTTTTCTTGATTTTATTCTTGAGGACTATTGGTGGATTAGTTAGAACTATTACGACGAAAGTGGTGTGAAGCTTCTTGAGTTTGTGAAGATGAAGTTCATGCCTACCTGTAGGTCAAGGCTAGAGTAAAACTTTAGGCCTTGGGAGCTCTGGGTTGTGAGCTTTTTTCATGATTTTATGCTTGAGGACTATTGGTGGATTAGTTAGAACTTTTACAAAGAAAGTGGTGTGAAGCTTCTTGAGTTTATGAAGATTGAGTAGGTGGCCTACCTGTAGGTCAGGGCTACAGTAAAGTTTAGGCCTTGGTTAACTTCATTGTCCCTGTATACTCTCTTAACTTAGCCTATTTGGCAAGGTTTGTCTGATTGAATCTAGAAAATTTAGCCTGCGATGTTATATATCAAAAACTTTTCCTTTTTTCCCATTCTTTCTTTTGTACTTGATCCCATTTAATCATTTTTGTGTAAACAAAATTATTCTGTCGTTCATGTGCTACCTTTTTCCTTTCTCTTGTGGAAGAGAATGTATTTCAACATCTTTTTACTAGTTGAGTGCCAAAAGACATGCCCTGGTGATTTCTCAAAAATAAATAAATAAATAAGGGCATGTCTGGTTATGATATGCTGTTATGTGGCTAATAGGATTGGATACAGGGCACGATTGTAACATAATATATTATATATATAAATATATATTATTGGGTGTTAATTAGTGAATTTTGTAGTTAAACTGTCTTCTTTCTTGGCAATATACATCCATCGTTAACTCACAAACATGCTGTGACCATCAGTATAATGCAATAATGTCTCGATAAATTTCCAGGCGTCAATGTTTTGGAGGAAAAGAGTAATGGCCATTGCTGAAGAATATACTGATGTTGAGCTCTCACATATGTATGTTGACAATGCTGCTATGCAGCTTGTTCGTAATCCAAAACAGGTAAGAACACCCTGGTATATGCTTTCATGTCATAATTTGATCTTTTAGCAAATTGGAGGGACAGGAAAGTGAAATTGTAGATTCGATAAGAATGGCAAGACTAACAGTGTTTTGCAATATATTGTTGCAGTTTGATACAATTGTGACAAACAACATATTTGGTGATATACTTTCTGATGAGGCTTCAATGATTACTGGAAGTATAGGGATGCTTCCATCAGCTAGTCTTGGTGCATCGGTATGGCAAATTACTTGATTATTTTCAAATCAAGCAAAATACTGAGTGGCTCTGTGGAAATATCTATTATAGTGCCTCCCTTAATGGTCATGCTATTCCTTTTCCATGTCGCAATATTAAATATTCTTTTCATTGATGTGAAATCTTTTCCACCTACACAGGGACCTGGACTTTTTGAACCAATACATGGTTCTGCTCCTGACATTGCTGGACAGGTTGGATTGACTTTTTCTTTAATGATGCATCATTTTTTTATTTGTTTTCACAACCGAAAAATGTGAACGGTTTGGTCCCTCCCTCCATGCTCCTTCTCACCAAACAGGGGAAAAAATAAAAGTTAAGTAAGAAGGAGAAAAGGGGCTATTGCAATCACTTTCTAAATCGGACTGTTACCCTTTTATGTTCAGGACAAGGCAAACCCATTGGCTACAGTTCTTAGTGCTGCAATGCTTTTGAAATATGGCCTAGGGGAAGAAAAAGCTGCAGAGAGAATTGAGAATGCTGTTTTGGATACCCTGAATAAGGGGTTTCGGACAGGCGACATCTACTCTGCTGGAACTGTATGCTCCCTCTCAACTCCACTATCTATATTTGCTTATAAGTTTGGTGAACATAATTTTAGAACTTGAAATATTTAACTAATTAGTCAGAACTTTTTTTGTAAGGCAAGAGCCAAAAGTTCATCAGATTTTACTTTTTTTGCATTTCTCCCTTCTCTTTTTTCTTGACTCATTATTTATGAATTGGAACATGTGAGGGTAACTTGCGTCAACTTCTTATGGCTGAAAGATCAGATAGAAAATTGTCTTGAACTATCGAGTTTGGCATCATTCATTCCCTTGAATTTTGTTTATCTTCTCCCGTGCTTTTGAAACGATGTTATTTCACAAGCTTGCTCAAATTCTTTTTTTTTACTCTACTCGATTTTTCGCATTCCATTATGGTTCATTTTATTTCCCCATTCACGAGTCCTCTCATTACTCTTCTAACCAATCAAGGAAGATGTTTGTGCTTATTCATTTGTTTTCTAAATTGTTAGTAATCTCTGACCTACATGTCTGGAATGTAGGGAAATAGTTGTGTAAACAATGAGAAATGTGCACATGCATGCATGAAAGGCATTTCTAAGTGTTTTTAAGTTTTAAGCTGCTGTAATTTCTCTTTGATTTAAAGAGGATCACAAGTATCAAGTTTGAGTATAAGCTTGCTGTGTTGTGTAGTTGAGTAAAAGATCTTGATATGGGCTCGAAAGTCCATAATTAAGCATTCACCTCGATGGTACTGTAGAATATACCATGGATAAGAACTTGGGCATACGTCGTTCTTTAGAACTTGTAATGACTCATTGGTGTTGTAAATAAAGATTAGAGTTTTAGGCACACTAGATATGTTGGTCTTCAAGCACCTAAAAAAGGTGCCTGAGATGCCAATTTCTCAGTTGTAAGTTTGCTGCATATCATTTACTAGGACACAATTTTCTTCTCCATTACATCTCAATGCATGGCAAACTTTGATAGATCTGCGCTGCAGAAATTCTTCTGTGATTTCTAGATCAAAACATCATATATTGATCATTCATGTAACACTAGCAACTGATTGTGCTCCCATATGTAATGCACTGTGCCTGTTCTAATGCGATTGCTTTTGCAGAAATTGGTGGGATGCAGAGAAATGGGTGATGAAGTGCTGAAATCAGTAGACTCCCAAGTGCCTACTGCTGTTTAATCAGAAACCATGTTACAGCTGAATTCAGTAGTTCAATATCAGAGAATGATGTTTTGAGTTCTTTCATATCTCCTTATCCATGTAAAATTATTCGGCTTTCATAAGTTTTTTTTTGCTGGTTTTGAGGAGGTGTTGTATTTTATTGGATTTCATTCCTGTGGCACACTAGGAGCTCAAAACAGAGTCAAGGCATTACATTTTGTTGTTTAACTGCTGAGAGATCTTTGTTGCTTTAACAGCCTGGTTAAGGAGGTTTGTTGTAACACAAACAAATTCTTATTTGCTGAAAATAAATCACATGGTTTCAGATTAGACGTTTAAATATCCCATCAAATATTATAGTGCTAATATAGCATTATATTGAAAATTGAAAATTGGTTCGTTATAGTTATATTTGAAACATGATTTTTGTTTTTCTAAATAATTTTTTTTAAAGATAAAGGCTTTCATTTTTCATTTACATTTCAATTCCAATCTGATCAACCCAATCAATGTCAGAAATGAGATCCCATCTCATATAATTATTGAAGAGATCTTAATTTCTTAAAATTTTAAGAAATTGGAAAGACCTAATCTCAAATTTAATCTAGATTATTTTATTTGGTCTGTTACCGTTTTATATATGACCTTATATATAAGCCGGCGTGGCCTATTATTATTGGTGGGTTTGTCTCTCTATATGAAATCCTTCTTTGCTATTAAACCGCGCCAATGGTTTTTTTTATTTTTTTTCTTCTTTTCTGTTTTAACCGAATCTCACTCGCATCAACATGTCTACAAGTTCAAGCGCAGCAATCCCCATAACCTCACTGGAGAACCATTTCCCGCAATCGGAAACCAAAACCATCGGTGAATTTAGCGACTCCTCCACGTCCTCATTATCTCCAATGACACAGGCCTTTCCTTTCTCCTCTGGAAACCCTAGAATCGAAGAGACACGTGGCGTCATGCATCTTTTCTCAAATGACGGCGTTTCTGGTCTTCCGGTATGCTCTATCATCTTTTTTGTTGTTAATTTGGCAGTTAAGAATCTTTTAATTGATGATTTCTCTATACTTTTTGGTATTAGGTTGGAAGGAAAAATCTTGTGTCTGTTATTGGAGTGCCAAATCACATGACTTATGCAGATTTTTGCCAGTTTTGCGCTTCTTTTATTCATCATATATTGGAAATGCGAATTGTCAGGTAAAAAGTATAAAACCTTTCTGATCATTATTATTATGGTTTTAATTGTACTCGGGTGTAATCAAATATAATTAGTAGAAATGAGAATGACTAAATTCACTAATTTTTCATATATGCTGTTCTTTATTTCATGAGAGCCGCCTTTGTCCTTTGTTGTTGGTTTGTGTATGATAATACTGGTTTTGTTATTTATTTGTTTATTTATATTACTTTGCATGATAGGAATGATGGGATGGAGGATCGATATAGTATCCTGATAAGATTTGACAATCAGGACTCTGCAGACAGATTCTACCAACATTTTAATGGCAGACAATTTAATTCTTTGGAGGTAGTGCTCTTATTTAGTTCTAATGAATTGAGGGGAATATAAAAATAATTTCTAAAAAGTTCTCAAAAAATAAAACATAAGTTGGTGATAGATCTCTAAATTTTTTAGTATACCTATTAATTTTTGCCTTTATACAGGAAGATGTTTGCGATGTGCTTTTTACAGTTGATGTACAGTTCACTGGTTATAGTGGTTCGCTCGACACCCAGCCTTCTGTGGCAAGCACAACTGAACAGCCTTCATGTCCAGTTTGTCTTGGTATGCTCAGTTCTTACTAAAGAAAATTTTGAGACTGCCCCTCCTCCCAGCTCTTTCTCCTTTTTTATAAGTATAATTTCTGTTCCATTTAGTGAAAGCATCATATATTTGAATTGAAACTCAAATTGAGGTTGAGAATATCATTGGAAGAAGTGGGCCTTATAGAAATTTTAGAAGTCTTACCCTCATGCTGCTTGAGGCCATCAGATATGAGAATTATGCCAAATGTTATCCTAGAATTTGTATCATTTTCTTATATTTTTCGTCATGCTACAGAGAGATTAGACCAAGACATGGGTGGAATTCTCACAACTATCTGTAATCATTCTTTTCATTGCTCGTGCATTTCAAAATGGACAGATTCTTCTTGTCCAGTAAGTGATCATAATTGGTTTTTTACCTTCTTCATGTTTGTTTTAATAGTGCTATTGCTTGATGTAAGGGCATTTTATGTAAATAAAATATATGAAAATGATAACTGTTTATACATTCTAATCATACTCTTTCTTGCCCTGAAAAGATGCCTCATTCTCCAGCTAAGTGTTGTGGGCTTTGCAGAAAACTGAAAATTAGTTATTTTTACTGGATACAACCACAGATATTAGAAGTTCCATTATGCTGATTTTGGTTAGCTTATACTTGAAAGCAATAGTAAACTAGATATTTGATGAAATAAGACCCACATACTGCAAGTCTTTGTTGCTGGAGTTAAAGAGCCAGTTCATCACATGTTTTGTTGGGAGTAAATACTGGTATACTGGTGGTTAATTGCTAGTATGGGGTACAGATTGTCATAATATAAAATTTTAAGAGGATAATCAGCCATATAGATAATGTCTATAGTTTGCTTGGGAAAAAAGTACTTATAAGTTTCATGAATCAGTGTTCTAGTACTTTAGCTGAAGATATGAGATGGTGATGATCTAAAAATCTGCAAATGTGTAGTAATTCATTTCTCAGCTGCTCTGCTTTGGTGTGATTAGTGGAACTGATGATTTATCAATTTTGATGGATTAATCATGAAAAAGCGTTAAAGTTTTAGGAGTTGTAAAAGCTTCAGAAAGAGAATTGATGAATCATTTGACCATTCTGCTGTAGCCTAGTCAAAATAATTTGGCAAATTGTTGCTTGGCTCATTGCTAGTTTTGGGTTCCTAATGCTATATCTGCTTACACTAATTTTTTATTGTTAAGGGGCTGGGTTTGCCAAGTAGTAGAGAGACTGTGTGACATGGTTGAAGTTTTTATTTGTGGTAGTTAATTATGTCCCACCATGGTTGTATTGCTATTGCTAATTGTAGAGGTGTGCTTCAAATAAAATTGCACAGACAAAATACTTGGAAGTAAGCTGACTAGTTGTTCAACATTTCATTTCAGGTTTGCCGATATTGTCAACAACAACCTGAAAAATCAACATGTATTGTGTGCCAAACTTCTGAGAATCTATGGCTTTGTGTTATCTGTGGTTTTGTTGGCTGTGGGAGGTAATGATTTCATTTTCTGTAATGGCAATATTAATCCTTCTTTCTCACTTTTTAAGACTTTATTTTAATAATCTGTTCCTCTTAAATATGCTATTCATTGTTAATATAGATATAAAGGAGGACATGCCATTAAACATTGGAAAGAGACACAACACTGCTACTCTCTTGAATTGGAAACTCAGCGTGTTTGGGATTATGCTGGTGACAATTATGTTCACAGACTGATTCAATCAAAAACTGATGGAAAATTAGTTGAATTAAATTCCCACTGCGTTCATGCTAATGATGGTTGTGGAAGTTTTGATTGTGTGAACTCTGGAATCAGCGAGGCTCGTTTGAACAGCAAAGTTGAAGCTGTAATGCATTCTGTAGTTAGTTTAATTCCATCGCTTCGTGCCTTTTACATTGCAATAGTCTCATTTTGAATGACTTGCAGATTGTTAATGAATACAATGAACTCCTAACAACTCAACTTGAGAACCAAAAACTAGTAAGTGTTTTCTTCCACTTTGCTGATTAGATGAATTTCTTGTTAAAGCTTTTTTTGAGATTTTATCTTGATTTTCATTGGAACGTAGTGATTATGACTACTATGATTGTAGTAAAATATCTATCTTAAATGATTATGATGTATGCTACTATGTTTTTAGTATCCCTTAAAAGTTGCATCTGTTATTTTGATAGTATTTTGAGAATTTGCTGCAAGAAGTCAGAGAAGAAACTGAAAGAGAGATTTCAGAAGCAGTTAAGAAGGCTGTTGCACAAAAATTTCCAAAGTTGCAGGCTAAGCTGGAAAGATGTCTCAAAGAGAAGAAATTTCTCGATGAAGTGAGAATCAGTCTCTTGTGCAAAACCACAGTTCAATTAGAATTATGTGCAGAGCTTAAAATTACAACAATTTGGATTGATCATGTGTCTGTTAAACTATCTGATTTTCTTGTTTCTGCTTGTAGCTCAACGAGAATCTTTTGAAAAATCAGGAGATATGGAAGGCAAAGATATTGGAGATAGAAGAGAGGTATGCATGGGTTTATGTCAAAAACAACCCCGTGTTTGGATGTTGTATTAGATTACTTTCGTAGATTTGTAAATTACTTGGCAAATAGCACATTTAAATGTTGTGCTTTATTTCTGTGGAACTTGCATTGGTATAACCTTGAGTTTGAACTTTTCCAGGCAGAAAAAGGCTTTGAAAGTGAAGGATGATAAAATTCAGGACCTTGAACAGCAGGTTTGTCAATTTTTTTATTGCTACAGCCTTTAACATAGTCTCATTATATACAAGCCGATGGATCAACTAAAATCACTCCTTTTATACATGATCACAGCTTAGAGATTTAATGATGTACCTAGAAGCAGGAAGAACAATGGAGCAGGTTTCAATATCAAATGAAATTAAGGATGGAACTGTGTTGCCAATGTCAGTGGAGTCTTCTTCAGGGATCAGTTCCAAGGGCACAAGAAAGGCTAATAGTCGCAGAAAAAGCTGAGAATGAGGTTAATAATGTGCATATCAATAGTCCTAGCCTGATTTTTGAGACTTCTGATTTCTTGGTCTAATAGTCCTAGTCTCATTTTTATGCAGTTCGGGAGTCTTAGTTTGCTACTTTTTAGGATATTTGTAGTAAAATTACCTTGATCCAAAGTCTTTTGTTGTCTGTGCATTGGTACTTTTATATTTTTAGAGAATTATATTTGTACATAATATGAGGATTTTTAATGGAGAAGAAAATGAGAGATTTTTATGTATTATGCTAAATACTATATTTATATACGAGGAGGACTGCTTATCATAGTTAGGTTCATATCTAGCTTTTATTTATTTATTATTATTATTTATTTTTTCAATCAATAGAAAATTTGATTAGGTATATTATAAGATACCTTAGATGAGAAGTAATTGATTCAATCAAACTTCATGACTCGTCATGTAAGTAATGTCTTGTTATAAATTTATTAAAGAAGAACAAAAGAAGTTGGACTGTCCACGAAGACTTTTCTTTGATATAAAATAAACTTGACTATAAAAAACACTATTAAACTTATGTTACTTTTCAACCATTCATCGATTATTTATCGACTCAAGACGAAGGGCTCAGAAAACATAATAGTCGCAGGATGATATAAGCCTGAAGACGATGAGGCTTAAGTCCACATGTGCATATCAATTAGTCCTAGAGGCAGCTGATTTCTTGAGGACTATCTGGTGTGTGTGCGGAAGTAGTTTCCTATGTCTTCGTGCTTGTATTCCATGCGCCTATTTAATACGTTGGGGCGGGCCCGAGTCTTAGTGGTTTTGCCCAGTGAGGCGTTGTGAGGAATGGTTTTTTTGAGTCTCTTAGTTGATAAATTACATACGCTTTGATGCCCAAAGTTGGGTGTTTCTGTGCGTGTCTCTATATGATGTTTATGGTGTGAAATTATATTTTGTAGGAGTAGGTTTTGTGAGCAAAAAGAGTAGTACAATGTAATAGTTAATTTCGATGGTAGCAGTATGAGGATTTTTTATGGCAAGTAGAAAATAGAAGGAATTTTTATAGTGTAACTTGATCTACTTAATTGCTGACGTAGGGGATTATTATTAGTACGAGAGGAGGGTCTAGATGACGTGTGATTCATATGTATAGAGTTGTTATCATTCGATCCATCTAAGTGACTTGTTGACCTTTTTATGGAATTTAATGTTCGATTATTTGATTGATTATATATAGTATCAATTCTAATTTATGAGAACATTTATGTGGAATTCTATAAAGAAGTTTATGTATGCCCTATATATAGAGGTAACCTTTATTGATGAAGAGAGTCATCGTATTTTTGTGGCCACTTCCGTATCCTTAGAGACTACATGGACTGATCTTTGTCCATTGTATGTGCTTGTGAGATAGTGCTTTGGTGTTCAATATAATTTTTTAAATTTAAGGCATTAGGAACATGTTATTGAGGACTAGCTTTTGGAGTACTGTGGTGCCATCAGAAGAAGCTTTTCATTTTATTTATATATGAAGGTATGAACTTGAGCTTTTTGTTTAATAATAATCTGACGTGATTTAAATGATATTAGTTATCTTTGATATCCTTGTATGCCAATTCGCAAAGTCATCATGATGCATAATATATTGTAGTATATATTTATAGTGATATTTTACTTATATAAGGTAGGCTATTTGTAAAGGGTTTTTTCCTATCATCTATGGATTTTAGGAGCGAGAAATTTTTTAGTAAATATATTATTGTGTTAAAAGGAGGAACATTTTGTTTTGTACTATCTTCGTATTCTATGCTTTCAATTAAAAAGTGCGTGCGTTTAAAAGATCGTTGTAATCCGGAAAAAGACGTTGAGTTTTTAGTAGTTTCTGCAGTGTTGGTTTTGGTATGAGGACAGCCTTTTTACCTAGGCTTGTATTTAATGTGCTATCAAGTGAGGGGACTACTCATAACCGCGGTTTTTTAAAACTCTGTGATCTTTTCTTTGTGTGCCGCTACAACATCTTGTTTTCAATCTGTCTCTTGTGCTAGTGCTCAACAATGCTCGGATTGTTGCTCGTTTTCTATTGTCGCACCCAAGCTCTTGTCGACTTTTCGCAGAAAAGTGATTAGTGGGGTGTTTTCTCCCTCTTTATTAAGACGAGTTGTGTGTTGTTGGCGAGTCTTGACCGTGCCCAATTTCGTGAATTCCTTTAGGCTCAATAGAGCCTGGCTCCTGTGCAACTCGTAAGGACGTATATAAATTATCTCACAGTGGATGAATAGGCGAGATGGGTGTTATGGAGTTTATTTGCGCGCAACTAGGCGAAATGAGTTGGCGATTCGTTTCCTCCCGATGGTGTTTATTACGTTCCTCAGATAGACTTACCTATGCGTTGCGGTAGAGTGCAAAGCGCAATGTAGCTCGTGGCCTGAGAGGAACTATCCTGTTGTCCTTGCACTCGGCAGTTTCACGAATGTACATGGATCCATGAGTCGACACTGTAGGGTGCAGTAAATTTTCTCCTCTTATGATGCAATAAGTTGAATACTCTCCTCTGCGTATAAGCAGTTGCTGAATACGATCGGTGAAAGTGAGCTTGTTCAAGAGGTTATGTGATTCTAGGGTGAAGACTCCACGTTGGTTCTTTGCTTAAATCCTTTCTCAATGTACTATTTTTGGTTGATGTGGTGAGTGTGTTAGGAATTCAAAGGGTACCAAAGAATTTAAAAGGAGGTAGGGGAATTGGTTCTTTCTTTCTTTTTTTTTAGGGGTATCTCTCTCTCAGAGTGTGGGAGGTGAATCTCTATATTTAAGGTGTTAGGATTTGTTAGAGTATCATTGAATTGTCGTATTTTGTTTATGGAAACAACCTTGGTTGTGATGAATTACTGCTGGTGTGGAGTCCTGGTATTTGATGTGTGAGTTTCTGCTTATGTGGGGATACAAATAAAATTTCAATAATGTGTGAGGTGTGACTATGCGAGAATGCCCATATGGCTGGGTAGGTTCTGGGGTAATTAATTGCAATTTTTCTTGTCGAATTGGATTCATTCTGGTCAATTTTTTCGACCATCAGATGAATGTTTTTTTCGTGTGACCGATTTATTTGTTTCTTTTTTATTTTCGAGGCGTTTTTCTTGTTGAGTTTATTTATATCTTTGGTGTTACATTAGCGTTTTATATGAGTGAATTCAGTTTTCTGATATTAGTATTTTATTAGTTTTTTTTTTTCGTTTTAATCAAGAATTATTCTTTTGAACTTTGTTCAGAGCCTCTTTGTTAGTAGTTGCTGTTTATTCAAATCTATTTCTGGGTTTATTTCGATTCGTATAGGCGGTTTATAAACTGCCAATCTCTTTTTATGAAGCGTATTTATGATTTTCTCCTTGTTTTGAGGATGCTGTTTTTTAACGCTGTTTCAATATTTCGCTCTAGATGATAGTCGAAAACCTTTCGGGTTTTTTGTTTTTTTTTGTGTATCTTATTTGTCGTATATCTCATATCTTTTATTGTTAAATGATAGTTTATTGTGTGTGATATTTATTTTGTTATTTTGTGTGCCAAATTGATAAAGTGTATGTACTTACTGTGGATATGGAAATACCTGACCAACTTAATGTTTGCGTGTAATGGTTATAGTGACTGATTACTGCTGTATTCCAAAAGCCTTTCGGGGAATATATAGTGGGAGGAAGATCAAGTATTCATGTTATTGGTCCTATAGTTTCTGCAGTGTACCTATTTAATACAAAGATTTAGGACTCGGAATATGAGATGCAATGGGCAACAAGATTTATCATTTGGCTACCCAGATTTGTTAGTATTGTGGCCAGTGTTGGCTAGTGTTAGTTCGTTAGAATTTGGTGAAAGGGTAGAATATATTGTAGCCAAGCTGAGGAAGGCCAGAGCTTGCTTTCTGACGAATGGATCAATGTCTTGGCTACGTGAATTTAGTAGTGTAAAGAATGTTCAGATTACTCAAGATTACTCCGATCTTTTTCATAATGCCTCTGAGGTGTATACCGAGGATATGAGACTTAAGTGAAGGAAATTAAGAGTGAATAAGTTCTCGTAGAGTGTTGCTCAAGATTTTAGTGTTCTAATCGAAGACCAAGAAGATTATCTCTTCCGGTGTCTTTATTAGAATGATGTGCTTAAGGGCGCAATTCCGGCTAGTTCATATGCTGTGTCAATATACGCTATTCAATGTGGCGGTGGGATTTACATTGTGCTCGTATTTGCAAATGGATGCCCTTGAGGGCGTTAATTAGAGGCTGCTTATGCTAGCAGCTGTATCCAAAGGAGTTATGTGATTAAGGAAACCAGCGTGGGCTGAGCTTGTGCTATATACTGATCGGTGTGTTTGTAATGAAGGAGCATTGATGCCATTGCTTCCTCGACCTCATATGCTTGGTAAGTCGAAGGGACTGTGATGTGATGATTGGTGTGATTCTTGGTTACCTGTAAGGCTAGGTGATTGATCGATTTGATTTCTAGCTTGATGATTAATATATTGTCGGTGGTCATGTGTCTCTGTTGCATTCTTTTCTCATTCCTATTTGCTTATATCGTAAGTATGCGTTGCTCTCGCTATTCTTATTCTATTTCTCAGTTAAACAGTCTAAATTCTAGTTAACATTTGAGACTTTGTTTGTATTTCTGAATAGAGGTAGTTTAATTCCATCCTTGGATATGTTTTCTATCGTGATTTTAGTGTGCAATTAGTACTTGTGTAGTGATGTGTACTGTTTGTATTTGCTTAAAGTGTGAAGTTTTGTTGTCATCCTTTGCAGGTGGGCAATCGTCGATGCTTTTTTTTGTTTTTTAACAAAATATGTATGTAGTCAGGGTTTGGTTTGCTACTAGAGTGTGCGTGAGGAGAACTGACGTGAAAGTCTCTTGGTTTCACAAGCAGCATCATATGTTCTTCGCTGGCAGGGTTGACAAGATTTTGCAGGTTGCTGGATTGATGTGCAGGAAAGTGTACCATTTATTGGGAAAATGGAATTATCGCATAGTGCTCAGAAGACTATCTTAGTGGTGAGTAGCTATTGATTATGCTCTGTATTGGTGGGTCGCTTGCCAGACTATATTCTAGCGGGAATATGCTGGTATTTGTATTGCATATGAGATAAGGATGATTGAACGAGAAGCAGAGGTAGACGTCATTTAACGTTGCTTTAGATGAAAGGTGATAGACTAACTCAGTTTAGGGTTTCCTAGTAGTGTTTAGTGTTTGTTGTTGGAACCAGATGTTACTTTACGAAATTACACGATGGGTTAAGTTAGGGCATTTGAACCTATAGACTACTACTTTAATCTGTCCAGTATGATAGACGTACTTGTCTACTTGCGGTGACTGTTAGATAGCTCATCTTCTCCCTAATATAGAATCTGTTCTCAAATACTATGTTGTATTTCAGCATTGCAATGAATGGAAATGGCATTTGGAGTTCTCTCGTAATGCGTATGGCATTTCCGTTAACAATTTGGTGTACCGTCCATAGTTTATAGGGTGTAGATTTGAAGTTGCGTTCAAGGAACTTGAGTGCGAACTTTCTCTTCGATGCAACCCATTTCGATTCAACTGCGTTGGGTGCTGGTTTCTCACTTATGATTAGTATGCTTGGGCTTTGTGTGATAGATTCGTATAGCTTGTTGCCGTCCATGTCTGTTAATACACTGTGTAAACTGAGCAGAACTGGGATTGCTCTGGCATATCTCTCTGCTTGTGGTTAGTGTCTCTCTCGATTATGTCATTATTTGTCTATCTCTCTACTGTTTTTGTCTTTGATTCAGCTCTATATTAAAAAGGTTTAAGATCCTATTATTTTTTATGCTTGATATGTTATATGTTGTTCTGAGACAGTGATAAGCAGATACCAATCAGGTGCGTGTTGAAGTTTTATTGGATGATAAGATGATTAAGGAATATTAAGAGCTGAAGTTTAGAATAAATATATTATATAGTTATACACAGCATTCAATATGTAATTTTGCCGTTATGATTCTTCTTTGTTTATTTAAGGTTATTTAGAATTCTTTTGAATAAGTATAGAACTCTATTGGTGAGTGCAATGTTAGAGAATTGGTTTAAATAGAGAATAGTACTTAAAGACTTACATATGTATGTAATATTTATTCATTTGTTAAGGGCTTGAGCGATCGAAAGGTTGTGGTTGGGATTCTCAGGACGAACATGTAGTTAATAGTGAGGACGGTTATTGGTATCACTCTTATGATGTTTTTGATCATTACAATGTAAAGATATTAATAAACTCTAAGATACATGTTGGATAAAATAGACGCGGTGATTGTTATTATCCATTAGTGTATACCATGAATTTCATTAGTGTTATTATACGTGTATACGTTTTTGCAATTCTTTCTAATACCACCACGTTCTAATACCAGCATCCTTCATTCATTTTCGAGTTCGACGTGACGCAATCTTAATTGGATCGTTTTGTGTTCCTTGATCCACAGAATCATGTATACCGATTTTGTCCCATTCGAGTAATTTTTTTATTTGCATTACATTCTTTGAGATTTGGGTTATGAGGGTGTTACAATTTTCTGCTCTTATAGAAATTATCAGTTAGCCGTATATTAGCGCATCGATGGAAATTATTGAGTTTTGCCCTCTTATGGCTATTATAAGTAAACACCTTTAATTTGTCAATTTGGTGTTTTGTTTCTGGTAACTTAATATATGTCTCATCGATGTTTTCTTATCGTAGTTAAAATAAATATGTTTGTAATGTGGTTTTCTTTACTCCGGTAGCATTTGATGAATCAAACCAGATTTTGGTGATTTTTTGCTATGGTATAAATTTGGATAATATGTTTAATAATGCTTTTTAACTAATTGTTAATATTTGTTCCTATATATACTTCTAAGAGAAAATAGACCCAGCAAGAATTTGGTCTCTAAGAAATAGTTAGTGGTTCGATATAATATTAAGACTGAGCTCCGTTTGAGTATAGTTTGTTTCATCGTAGCTTTGTGACACCATGTGTCTAGACGTGTGTATAGAGGATGAGGTTGTGTAGTTATATTATTTTAGATTAACTGTGAATCTGTTGTTGTTCTGTTTATTAGTGTGATCATTTTTTGATGTTTGAATTACTTTGAGTGTTTAGAATTCTTTTATACATATCAATTGTATTGGTATAGTTTATTCTTTTATTCAGAAGTTGTGCTTGACAGTAGCATATATTGATGTTTCCTCTAATTTAAATTGTAAGTATTGTATCCAATTACTGTGTTTGATGACCAGGATTATTTTGTTAGATATCAGTTTAGGGCCATATTGATTCTAATTTGGTCGTGAGTTATAGCTTCTATTATATGTTTTGTAATGAGTAAAATTGGATAGTGGTGAAGGCCACTAGGCCAGAATAATGAGAGCCTTGATAATAATTAATGTGGATTGATGTAGGATAGTTGTGAGTGTCCAAACCGCAAGGTAATTGAATTACTTAGTATGTGTGAATCTTGGTTTCTTAAACTATAGATTCATTGAGATTAGAGTTGATGGCATAATTTCGAAGTTGATGTGTTTTTTTTTGTGTTTTTTATTTTTAAAGTTGATCCAGCCTCGCGCACTGCGAGGTATCATTTTTATAATAAAAATTGCACGGTACGAAGCTCAACAAATTACCTCAGATTATTATATAATTGAAATGATATGTGAATTGTTTACTGAGTTTGGGAAGCGTATGTATATGTTATATTTTTTTTCATTTTGAATTGATCTATAATAGTAGCAATTTTCCACCTAATTAAAGCATTTTTAATTGTTTTCTTTTTCAAATTTTTAGCTAATGTCCAATAAGACTAGTGCTGAAAGTATGAATGGTGTTTTTTTTTTTTTTTTTTTTTTTTAAAGTGTCATCCGGCACGGAAGGTTTCATTTTTAATAATAAAATTGCACACGAGCAACAAACTATATAATTGAATGTTGAATTATATGAAATTCAATTATTATATATTAGAATTTTATAAAGATTTTAAATTTTTCTTTTTCAAATTTTTATATCAATACATGCAAGATATGGTTTAACATACTTTTTTCATTTACAGATCTTTTTAATTGCTTCATTCTCATTCTGTAACACTATAAAGTTTGGATATTAAGAGTTTGTTGACTCGTGATTAGAATTGTTTTCTGCATTATATTTTTTATGAAATTAATTTTGTAGCTGATTATTTAGCAACATTGGGTCATTCTATTTTCTCTTCATTGTTTATTTGAGATTTTAGCCCCGCTTTGCTCTCCTTGATTCATAGGGATTTTTTTACTTGTAGTATTAGCTTTTTGAGATTTTTTTTTTTTTTTTGTCTTATTTTTGTTACAGAAATATTCTTTTGAGTTAAAAAGACATTTCAAAATGGTGACGATGTTGTTATAACTAATATGAACTTACCAACTCAATTAGAAATGTTAATGATTAATATAACATTAAAATACCCATATGTGAACTTAATTATAATCCTAATATTGCAATTAAATTATAACATTAAATCACTAATACTTGAACTCAATTATTATGTTGATGACTAATATTTGTGTTTAATACTAAAAATAAAAAGAAATTAGTTCAATATCAAAATTTAATAAAAAAAAAAAACTAAATATTACTAAGGATTAGCATTTGAATTCAATTATCTATAAAAAAAAATTAATTCAATTAGAAATCTCATTTTTAAATTTAGACTTGTCATTAAGGAACACTAAATCATGAACATGAAAAATAAGTATGATAACATGCAAAGCATGTTCTTAAAAACTAGTAGTTTGTAAAAATAAAAAATTAGAATATGTTATTGTATTAATGTGTTAATTAAAATTCAATCCAATACACTTAGAATTCAATTTTTCATTTAAAACAATTGAAAGATAAATTAAATTCAAGTAATTATTTTCTTATGCCACTTTTATTTATAATAAGATTTTAAAAATGGTCTTTCTATTATTGTCTACCATTATTGAAATACTTAAAAATATTAGGATCTAATTGTATATGAAGAACATAGATACTAATTATATATTTTTATATACTTTGTTGCTGCATGAAGAACATAAAGCCAGAAAAAATAATACTAATAAATACGAGGAAATATCTTGTAAGAGTTCATCATATATATAAAGCCAGAAAAAATAATACTAATTCAATACGAGAGGGAAATATCTTGTAAGAGTTCATCATATAATATATATATATATATATTATAGTATAAGTGGATTATATATCTTGCAAGACCAAAATACCACTAATAAAAAATCGATTAAATGGCTATGGGGGGTTTATTTTTTTGTAAAAGGAGTTTCTATATATTTGCAAAGACCAAAATACCACTAATAAAAAATCGATTAAATGCATATGGGTATTTTTGTAAGAGTTCACCATCGGCTATTCAAAGTAACGGAAACGTATTCGGGCATATAAGAATAAAAATAAAAATAATGGAGTTTCAGAAAGAACACCGTGATGTTGGCAAATTTACATGAAAGAAGTAACAAAGTTTCGATGAATACCAGAAGCCTCTTCGAATACAGAAACTGACCCTTTCGATTGTCAAAATCTTCTTCTTTTATTTTTTACAGGTAGAAAGTTTCATTCTTTTGGTTAGCAATTCGTGATTTATGAGTGGATATGCTTTTTGTCTAATAGTGATTGGTGAATTTCAAGATAATTTGGGTAGAATACTTTCTGGGTTTCTGTAATTTATGTTCGTTGAAGTCAATTTTTATCTAGGTTTTGAGCATTAACAATTTGAAATTATTAGATAAACTATGAAGAAGAGTGGATTTTGATCTGGATATGGTTGAATTTTCTTGCTAGTTTCTTCTAACAATAGGCGTTGTGATGGGGATAAATTACTCAATGGATTCTCTCTTTATTTTTGCCCTGCTGTTTAAGGGATTTTCTGTTACTGGTATATCAAGCTTATTTAGGATCTATTATTGCTTGAATTAATTTATAATGTTAAAAGTATCTAATTGTTTGAATGAGGATTACCTTCTCTTTGTTACATTCAGTTTCATGTTGGTTATTGCTTTAATTTTTCAGCTTTTTTTTGTTAATATTCTTATGTCTAGGCAAGAAAGAAATTTGGTTTTCATGGATAATTTACCGGACCAATTGGTTTGGGAGATCTTGAGCCGAGTCAAGAAAACTGTTGATAGGAACTCTGCTTCATTGACATGTAAACGTCTCTACGAGTTCGATAATGAACAACGATCGTGTCTTAGGTTTGGTTGCGGATTAGATCCTGCTGATCAAGCTCTGACTTCCCTTTGCAACCGATTTTCTAACTTAGTAAAAGTAGAAATAACATACTCTGGTTGGATGTCCAAGCTAGGAAAACAATTAGATGACCAAGGGCTTGAGATTCTTTCTAAAAAGTGCCCATCTCTGATTGATCTCACTTTAAGCTATTGTACATTCATAACCGATGTGGGTCTTCGTTATTTGGCCTCTTGCTCCAATCTTTCGGCCTTGAAATTGAATTTTACACCAAGAATCACTGGATGTGGGATATTATCTGTTGTTGTGGGCTGCAAAATACTCACTGTTCTCCACCTCAACAGATGTCTAAATGTTACTAGTGTTGAATGGTTGGAATACCTTGGCAAGCTTGAAACACTTGAAGACCTTTCAATTAAAAATTGTAGAGTGATTGGGGAAGGTGATTTGATTAAGTTAGGATACAGCTGGCGAAAAGTCAAAAAGTTGCAGTTTGAAGTCGATGCTAATTACAGATATATGAAGGTTTATGATCGATTAGCTGTAGATCGATGGCAAAAGCAATTAGTCCCATGTGAATCTATGTTGGAGCTTAGCCTGGTGAATTGCATTATCAGCCCAGGCAGAGGGCTTGCTTGTGTGTTGGGAAAGTGCAAGAACTTGGAGAAGATTCATTTGGACATGTGTGTTGGGGTAAGGGACTGTGACATTATAGGCTTAGCCCAAAAATCAAGAAATCTTCGGTCAATTTCCCTCCGAGTTCCTTCTGATTTCTCCTTGCCACTTCTGCTAAACAACCCTTTGAGGTTAACAGATGATAGTCTTAAAGCAGTGGCTCAAAATTGTAAAATGCTTGAATCTGTAAGGCTATCATTTTCTGATGGGGAATTTCCTTCCTTTTCATCATTTACTTTAAATGGAATTCTTGCATTGATTCAGATGTGCCCCATTCGAGAACTTTCTCTTGACCATGTGTATTCCTTCAATGACACTGGGATGGAAGCTCTTTGTATGGCTCAGTTTCTTGAAACATTAGAGCTTGTCAGATGCCAAGAGATCAGCGACGAGGGTTTGCAGCTCGCTGCCCATTTTCCTCGCTTGTGCATATTACGGTTAAGGAAGTGTTTGGGAATGACAGATGATGGGTTAATGCCTCTTATTGGGTCGTACAAGTTGGAAACATTGACAGTGGAAGATTGTCCTCAAATTTCTGAAAGGGGTGTTCAAGGAGCTGCAAGAACGGTGTCATTCCGACAGGACTTGTCATGGATGTATTAAACCTCATTTAATTTGTTTATTTTTCCTTACATTTCTCTCTGATTTGTTCTAAACTGTTCCCTCTGTATTTGTTTCTTGTTCTATCATTCTTACTTGTTAGTAGTTGAGTTGTTCATTACCATTGTATAGTATGTTTTAATAAATTGTGTTGTGGATAAATTTATCCTTCTCATACTTTGGTTGAGGACTCCTTTCTCAATTTTAATTTCTAATAAGGACAAAATTTAGAATTAATAATTTCAAGATAAATAGCATATTAATAAAATAAAAAACGTAATTAATCATTTCCCATCCATTCATTTTTCTCTCCGCCGCCGCAGCCACCGCCTCCGCCTCCACCTCCACGACCGTTTCTGCTACCAGCAAGCACCCACCTTTCACAGTCCATGGCTATTACTACTATTATAAAATTTCAAATGATTATTTTATTTTATTAAATCAAAAACTCAAAACCCGCCATTTGTAGCAGATACCCTTTTTGAAGCGTAACGTTCCACCTGTATTCTCCATTTCAAGAAAGAACCTTAAACCCTAGCTCCTCTTTCAACCTTAAGCATTCCTCTTCTCAAATCTCTATCACTCATCTTCTCACATTCTCAATCACTCACCTAAAAATCCTTTCTTTTTTTTTTTTTTTTTTTTTGGTTAAACCCTAGCTTCCTCTTTCAACCTTAAAAGACATTCTCTCTCTTCTCGAAATCTCTATCACTCGATACTTCTCACATTCTCAATCACTCCCGGACTAAAACTGTTTTTTTTTTTTTATATTATATATATATATTGGCGAAATCGAATTGATTCATTTCTGCATTATTTTCTTTAAACATCGAAAATATAATACCTACAAAAGCTCACCACAAACAATAAATCCAACGAGACTACAAATCTGTTCAATAATTTAAGCATAAAAATCAAAATGAACTCAACCCAAGCTCTTTCTCAACGCGTAAAGATTTCTCTTTCTCGGGGCGGTCCGTGCGGATAGAGTTTTTTTTTTTTTTTTTTTTTGCGAATCGAATTGATTCATTTCTCAATTATTTCTTACACATCGAATCATTTCGCTCCCTACAAAAGCCTCACCCACAAACAATCAAATCCAACGAACTACAAATCTGTTCAAATTTAAGCATAATAAATCAAAATGAACTCAACCCAGCTCTTTCTCAACCGTCCGATTTCTCTTTCTCCTCCGGCGGTGGATCTCCCCCGTTCCTTTAAGACACGCGCATGTCTTAACGTGGACGTGCAGACGACCAATTCGGTGAAACTGAACTTGAAGAGCAAAGAAGTGATGGAGATAGAGGCGAAGGTGCTGGTGGGGACATATGCAAGGAACCCGCTAGTTCTCTCCAGTGGCAAAGGTTGTAAATTGTATGATCCTGAAGGGCGAGAGTATTTGGACTGTACCTCCGGAATCGCAGTCAACGCTCTCGGCCACGGCGATCCTGATTGGGTCCGGGCGGTTACAGAGCAAGCCAATTTGCTTACGCATGTTAGTAATGTCTATTATTCAATACCTCAGGTAATATATTTCTTCTCTCTTTTGACTTTTCTATTTCCTATTTAACGTATTTATTAGTTACTTAATGGTAGATATGTTGTTGCTGTAGGTAGAGCTTGCGAAACGTCTTGTGGATTCTTCTTTCGCTGATCGTGTATTTTTCACAAATTCTGGAACAGAAGCAAATGAAGCTGCTATCAAATTTGCAAGGAAGTTTCAGAGGGTTTCCCATCCTGATGAGAAGCAGCCTCCAACGGAGTTCATTTCTTTTACCAATAGCTTCCATGGGAGGACTATGGGTGCTGTTGCTTTGACTAGCAAAGAGCATTATCGTTCACCTTTTGAGCCTGTTATGCCTGGAGTTACTTTCCTGGAATATGGTAACATTGAAGCTGCAAGAGAATTGATTAAAAGTGGGAAGATTGCTGCTGTATTCATTGAACCTATCCAAGGTGAAGGTGGCATTTATAGTGCAACAAAGGAATTTTTGCAATCCTTACGCAGTGCTTGTGATGATGCTGGGTCTCTCCTTGTTTTTGATGAGGTCAGTAGCTTTTTTTATTTTTGAAAGATATTTCCTTATGCAGATAATTGATCCTGAGATCCAATTTTGTTATCAAATTATTGCATGTTATAGATGTTAAGTGCAATGACATTCTGTTTTCAGTAACCTTCTCTCCCTTACCCCCACAAATATTGTCACAAACCTAAAACATAGATATGTTATTACGAAAGATTGTCTGAATAAGAAGGATCAAACATGTGCTAAAAATACCATCCATGAAGGATGGGGTATCATGAGTGTCATTCTAGTGAAATTTGCTGGTATCTTATGGAGAAAGCACTAGTGGATTTCTTACTGAGCGTCATTTTAGTGGGTTGCCTGACAAAGTCAGAAGTATGATGATTAGTAATGATTTTCCAATTCAATTTAATTTAAAATTACAACCATTGACATTTAACCTTAAAACAAATTGCTAGGTATCTTTTGATGATCTTAAGATACAAGGGATAAACAGCGCAGTTCATTTGGGCAAGCATCAAGATTCCAGTTGCGCTAAAATTGGAGTTTACAATATTTAGAAACGTGTAAATGGGGGAAGAAACTAACCTTGTATCATTAGTGTTATGGGAAACTTTCCTTAAAAAAGAACTCGAAAATTTTATGTGCAAGTATGTTTCTTGCCTGATGGAAGAGGGTTACAGTATTCTATATGTTCTTACTGTGAAAAGCCATGGTCAAAATTTCAGGTTTAGTTGAAGGAGTGAAGGGATAATTACTTATTTCTGAAGCAGTCGCCTTTCATCCTTTTGGCTCTTTTTAAAATGATAAGAATGCAAATGCTAATGTGTGAAGCACATAACAGGCAGACATATTTGGTAGGAGAGTTCCTCTTGAAATTAATATTTTCTGGCAAAATGTCCATCTATCCCCCATCTTTGTCGTCCTGTCAATAAAAAGAAAACCTCTTTGTTTAATTTTTTCAAATTTATATTTTGATCACTCTGAAAATCTTTGTTCTCTTAGAATAACTGTTAAAAATTTTATGTTCGCAGGTTCAATGTGGCTTGGGCCGAACTGGTTGTCTTTGGGCACATGAAGCATACAGTGTAGTCCCAGACATAATGACCATTGCCAAACCTCTTGCTGGAGGCCTTCCCATTGGAGCTGCATTAATGAGCGAAAGAGTTGCAGCTGCCATGAAGTATGGAGAACATGGAAGCACTTTTGCTGGTGGACCTCTTGTCTGCAATGCTGCTATTGCTGTTTTAGATAAAATATCAGGACCTGGTTTCTTGGCAAAGGTTGCTAAGAAAGGCCAGTACTTCAAAGAAATATTAATTCAGAAGCTTGGTGGAAACTCACACGTCAAGGAAGTACGAGGCATGGGGCTTATATTAGGGATAGAACTGGATGTATCTGCTTCACCTCTGGTAGATGCCAGTCGAAACTCTGGCCTTCTAATACTAACTGCTGGAAAGGGAAACATTGTTAGGCTGGTACCTCCATTGATCATCTCAGAACAAGAATTGGAGCTTGCGGCTGATACTCTGCTTCAATGTTTACCAGTACTTGATAATAACAATTGAAGCCAGGAGAGATAAAGCTCAAATTGCTAGTAATTCCTTATTATTAACCATGAAATGTTCTCATTTCAATTCCTTATAAATTGAACCATTACATTATTTAGCATGTATTAACACATGCACTTTTATTGTAGAACTATAGCTTATATTATACAGTACGAACAGCAATAGAAGCATAAAAACTACAAGATATCAGAAGCTAGCAGCTAATACATATGCTTAAAGTTAAAGGCCACAGTAGGCTTTTACAGTAGAATCCTGTCCGTCCCTCTTTTGAGCAGAAGTAATTCAACAATCCAAAATGATCAAATGGCTTAAACTGCAGAGCATGTTCTTCATCAATTAGCTTCCCTGGAACTTTGATCATACCTTTCTGGTAAGAAAATAGTGAAGAGCATGTTTAATTAATTTTATGCACTGTTGATGCTGCAAAAACAGTTGAATAAACTTTCTAAACAGTAACTTTACTATTTTTGGAGTTGTTATATATTAGTTAAGATATGTTTATATTAATGTTTTTGGACTAATCTACTTAGATGTCAAAGCATTAATATTCATATTGCATAAAACCGATTCACTTGTACTCAGATTAACAAGCACTCCCTTATAATTTTTTATTTTTTATTTTTTTCAACATTAGATTCATTTTCTCAGCAACACCATTTAAATGAGACAAAAAAAAAAAAAAAAAAGAGGAGTTTTATTTTTTATTTTTTTGTCACATTAAGATGCATTTCTCAGCAACACCAATTTAAATGAGACAAAAAAAAAAAAAAAAAAATCATCTGCTTAATAAGACAATTATAAAAAAAAAAAAAAAAATCATTGCTATAAAATTATACGGTGAGTTTTTTTTTGATATAAACATATAAGATTATTTTCCGCCAATTTTAATGCTATAAATTTATTTTCTATTTAATTAATATCAAAAACAATTATTTTTATAATTTCATTAATGTTAATATAATAATTTTTTTGAAAGGATTTAATGTTAATATATCAGTGCATTTGATTTGATTTGTTAACAAAGTTTGATCAAATTTTTATTAAGCCGGGTCGAACTGAACTAGTGGAGTAGCTTGAAATGTTTTATAGTTCTACCCCACAGCAGCTGTGTTTGATTTAAACATGGTAAAAAGACGAACAAAAAGAAATGGAAAAATGCTAAATACGTAAATTGCCACCAATGGAAAAATCTTATGGCACTTTCAATATTTATTTTAATTTATTAAATATTTTAATTTATAAAATTGAAACTGTTAAGTATTTTATTTGACTCACTAAACACTTTAACTTATAAAATTAAACTGATTAAACACTATTAGACAATTAAAAATGTAAAATTTAGTATTCTAATAGTTAAATTAACTATATATCAAATAAATATTTTAGATATAGAAACTAAAATCTTAAAAATTATTATTTCAAACGTAAAAAAAATATTTAAAAAGTGAAGTTCATGGTGTCACTAGGTCGATTCTAGAGTTCAGAATGTCACAAAATTTTTTTTTGTCGAAATTCAAGAATTAAATTATATATCCCACCATCTAAAAAAATATATGTATAATATCAAATTATACAATTTCCCACACACATGCAATGAAACAAACAAAAGATAGGGCCCAGGTTTTTACTAAACACGAAAATGAATACTTTCAAAGTACAAAAATCATAAAGATATCATAATAACTTACTTTCTTTGCTTTGTCTTGTTTTCTTCTTGGGATTTTCTCATCCCCTCTTCCTTTTTCTTTTCTTCCCAAACCCTCCTAGTAAAATGGTCCAATTTTCCTTCACTCATAGCCAGAGAAAGAAAGAAAGAAAGAAAGAAAGAAAGATCTCTTGGTCCAAAGAATGTGTAAAACACTAAACCCTTTCGCGTGCTAAACAAAGCTCTCTCTTGGAAATACCATTTTCTTTGATTCTTCTGCTTCTCTCTTCCCTTATACACAGAGAGGGTCAGTGGTGTTTTGAGAGTTATAGACCGACATTCTTTTTTGTTCCTATAGAATGTTTCTTGAGATATCGGTATACAACCCAACCCACTTCCTCCACCACCTTGAAGTATGCCCATAATAAGCCAAACAGCAACGCCTATCAATGCAAATTTATTAAGCTTCGTTGCTTTTTGCATGGAACCATTATTTTATAAGCTCTGTAAAAGAAGATTGACTTCAATTTTTTTGCAAATTATTTTTCATTATTTCTGCACAAAACGATGATGTTCTATGTTGTGCTTACCGTCTTTTTCCCCTTTGTTTACTGAAAAACATACCACCAATTTCCTTGTTTTGCATGCATTTTGAAAGTTTAAATTTTTTAAACATTAACCTCGTTATTATTAATTTAATATGTAATGCAATATATATATATATATATATAAATTTAGCTTAACCTTGCAGCATCAAAAACTCCATAAACAATTTCAACATTACTGATTGTTTTTTTTTTTTTTTTTTTTGCAGCATCAACTCCTAAACAATCTTTTATTAGCGGCTGTGATGTGTTTTGGTTATTTTTTGTGTGTTTTTTTTTGCTTGTCAATAATACAATGTGTCTATATATATAAGTAAAAAGGGATCATAAAGGGGATGAAAAAATAAAATAGGGGAAAAATTCTCTTATTACCAGAAATACAATAAGATTGGAGGGAACCAAAAAAAAAAAAAAAAACCAATTGCTAAACCAAATCAGAAATTGGATAAAATGAACTAATGAAATCAGAAGGGACATGAATCTTTGAGTCCTTAAAAATTAAACTCAGAGTACGGGCATTATAGTTAATCATATAAAAAAAAAAAAAAAAAAAAAACCAATTGCCTTAAACCAAATCAGAAATTATAAAATGAATAATGAATCAGAAAGGACATGATCTTGATCCTTAAAAATTAAACTCAGAGTAGGCATTATAGTTAATCATATATGGTAAAATAAAATTTATGAATAATAAATGAAAATTTTATATATTATTACAAGTCCCAGATATAAACAATCTGTAAAAATTTTAAAAACTCAATACATAAAAACATGACTTCATGAATACCAATTCACAAAACAGACTATTGTTTCTTCCTAAAAGATGTCCCAATTCCCATACATACACAAACCAATATAAGCTGCTCAGTTCAGACCTAACTTAACAATAACATACCCCAAAATTTTCGACAAAATCCAGATAAAATAATAATAATAATAATAATAACAATAAATCCCCTCAAAAAATTATTAAATAATAATTACAGCCCCTCAATAGCTGATTTTCCCAGCTTCGGTGATTAATTCATGTTTAATATAGATCGATTTCATAACATTTTATAAAATTTAACTAAATTTTTATATTTTATGTTTTTTTTGAAAATATATTTTATATTAAAATATATATAAAAAAGATTTATTTTACTTTACAAATTTAATCCTATAACATTAAATTAAATATAACTAAATCAATTTACATTTAAATAATTTTCAAAAACATAAGTTAAAGGGAATTTATAGAATACAATTAACTATTTCATTTGATCTTGTTAGGAGTTCATTTGCTAAAAATAATGTTGTTTAGGAATGAATTCCTCACTCAAAAATTTATTTCTTCCTTCTCATCTATGAAAAATTACATAGTGAAACAAAGATACTATTTCAGTAACACAAATTAAAATGACAATTAAATAAAAATAAAATATCTATCTAAAAAAAGAAAAAAAAAACTTGAAATAAACCCGACTTATTCAACTAAGTCCAATCTCGCTCGTTCGAATTAATTAAACCTATAAGAGAAAGCGCTGGTTCGAATTAATTTATTTTTTCGTAATAAATTATTTATTTATTAATATAAAATAAAAATATAGCATTAACCCATCATTTGCTAAGCCGAGACCTGATCGAAGTGAACACATTGACAAGCAAATCTTTTGAACCGTCGATTTTCTTTTACACCCAAAAGATTACAGTCTAATCAACATTTTTTCACAGATTTTGTCCCCTATTTTGAATTAAAATACAGGAAACATAGTTTTTTAAAAAAAAAAATCATCATGTGGGCCCATGGCCATCTACGTGTGATTGATTTGATCAAAGACATTTCTATCTTACTCTACGCTAATGATTCACACTCTAACACGATCTACACTCTTACATATTGGTTTTTGAGATGCTCTGCACGGTTACTACGGTGTACCTTCGCAACACCAAATTTTTTTCTCCGTATTAAACAAGCAACCCAGAATGATAATTATCTGATTTAAAATAAAATTAGTAAGATTTGTAACCTATTTACCGAAAGCTAAACACAATGTAGTCAAACAATCTTGTCCCTTGACGACATCGTGACGCTCTCTTGGTTTAAATAAGGGACTTCACGTAATCCAACGGCTATTAATAAAAAAAAAAACACTATACTCTAACTCTACTCCCTCGATATTATACAACCCTTTTTCTTTCCCTTAATACCCATCAAATCACCAGGTTCTGCATTGCCCATGGATTTTTTTCTAATGACGTATATGTCCTTTCCTTTCTTATTACAGGCTGGAGGCACAGATAAATCAAACCGCTGAGACTCTCAAAAAAATTCGATTATACCTTTAAAGAATCCAATTTAACTCAACAGATATCAATTCGAGTCAATTCATTTGCAACCCTATTTAAAATAGCCAAGGAATCCGAGTAGCTGTACAAAGGGCAGTTCTGACATTTAGAAGAGGATATCCCTCCTGGCCACTGCAGAGCAATGTTAATATGACGGGGTTACCGTCTCTTCCTATTTGACAGGAATATCTATCTAATTTCTTTTTTTTTTTTTCTTTTTTGGCGGGTATCTAATTTCTCAATTAAATCATTTCTTTACAAATTATTATTAACTTAATTAATTAATATTTTTATCTTCTGTATATAAATCGGTCCATGTTTCCTCGGCTCCATCGACAGCACATGAATCTTTCCCAAGTACGACAGCAAAACGCCATGAACAACCAAAACTTGCTCCCCGTTCCGTTCTTTTCCAACCCTGAAACTTATCAGTTATCCGAAAAGGTTCATTTCTTGACTGAAACGTCGTCTTTTTATAAGCCTCTGTTTGCTCCCCATTACCCCATCTCTTCCATTTTAGCTCATAATAACTACCTTAACCAACATAACTGCTGTCCTGTATCGGTCGATGTCTCGGTTTCAGATTCCTTTGTTCCTAGCAAGAAAGAACCCGATACCCAAACTCAATCGCTGCCCGTTCTTGATGGAATCGCTGCTGTTGTTGGCCAGCACATCCTTTTTGGAACCAATACCTCCGCCAATGGTAAGAACCTCGAAACATCAATTTCACAACGGACCGGCTCAAAGACAACGAACCACGAGGATGATGGTCACCGGAAAGTTACTGGAATGCCCATGCAAAGGAGCTATAGAGGAGTGAGAAAGAGGCCGTGGGGAAGATGGTCAGCAGAGATACGTGACCGAATAGGGCGCTGCCGCCACTGGCTGGGCACATTCGACACAGCAGAAGAAGCGGCGCGTGCATATGACGCGGCGGCGAGGAGACTCAGAGGTGCAAAAGCAAGAACAAATTTTGAAATCCCTTCTGTGCTGCCGATTTCGTCTCCAACTTCCTCAGGTTCATCTACGGAAGTTAGAAAGAGAAATAGTAACAAAGGAAATGGTGGTAAAAAGTGCGCAGTTGTTACTTCTGTTGCTCATTTGTTTAGTGATATCATTAACACCAATAGTGTTTTTGAAGGGAAGACGAACAGTACAGTAAGTAACAATAATAATGCTAAGTTGGAGCTTGACCTGAAGCTGGGGATGGGATTTGGTGAAAATGGAAACAAGAGAGATGCTCCTTATATGGTTATTTAGGGTTCTTGGTTGTTAGCAGCTTTTTTTCTATATTACATAAGGAACCTTTCTTGTTTTCTCTTTTTGTTTTTGGGTAAAATTAGGTTAGCAAATATGAATGTATGTAATGGGGAAGTAGAAATGCAAGTAGTTCTCGAAAATTCAGCTATATATATAAAATCAAGTTAGGCAAGCTTATCCAGTGTTGTTAAGAACCTGAAATGTGTAAGAACATAAGAAATGTGATGGTATTTACTATATAGTTATATAGTTATAACATATTAATCCTTAAAACTCACTTTTTCTTCCTTTGATCTGTGTTTGCTTCCAGTTAACTGTGTTTAAGAATTCCAAATTTTCAACACTTCAGCTTATGATTGTAGAATTAAAATTTTTTTTATGAAATTATAAGTAATATTTAATGGACTAAGACTGTAAAATTGTTGATTTTAGAGAAGGATAAAACCCAAAATATAATATTTTCTGCTCAGTCCTAATGAAGGGGCAAAGCCATGGAGCAAGACAAAAAATAAGAAATGATTAGAAAACAAAAAGCTTGAAATTAAAAAGCAAACCTATATTGTACTAGTATCTGCAATCTATTACGTACTTAAATTGTTGGTAACATATGAGCTAACACTTGCCTTTAGGGGACTACAAAGAAAAGAGTCAATAAAGAATCATCATTAGTTTCGCCCACGAAACCCGCGGCCGTAGAGAGAGATGAGATAGAACTGTAGAGATATGAGTAATGATGATGGAAAGAGAGAGAAAAATCTCATCTTTCTTCCTTCTTCTCTGTTGATCTCTTCAGTTGACGTTCGAAAATCAATCGCTCTTATTGTACAGTTGCGTCAGTGACAGTAATGGAGATTTGCCCACCCTGTTTTTCCTTTGGAATGATTGATAGCTACCACTTCTCATTTATTTGCATTTTTATACAAAAAAAAAAAAAAAAAATTAATTAGTATTATCTTAAATTGTCAAAATCTTTTCAAAATCTTTTTTTTTTTTTTTTTTTTGTTATAGGCAAAATGAATGGATTTATGAAACTTCTTTACTTAGATGATTTAATACATTTTGATATAATTGCGTAATAAACTCCTATCTTGCTTCAAACAAAAATTTATTTCTTCCTTTTTACTAAATGCATTCAATTTTAGGGATTAACTCATAATTATATTTTTAGGTACTATTATAGCTAGTTGGTTATATATGTTACTTCTAAAGAATGAAAGTTGAAAAAAAAAAGTTTAGGGGCCTATATATAATTTTTGAAGGATGAAAGTTAAAAAGAAAAAAACATGGGGAAGCGATGGCCCCTCGTAGCCCTTGAGAAGGTCTGCCCCCGGTCGAAGGACTCAAAACTCTCAACCTAATGGGAGCACTGAACGAATCTTATCAACCGAGCCAACACTCCAATAACCTATAAAATGGTAAACTGGCATACAGGGACCAAATTAAAATAACTATATAGAAATATCACTTACTAAATATAACAAATTACCTTTTTTTTATAATTACATTCCAATACCTTTTAACAATTTTGCTATGCAGTATTATCCATCATGTAATTAATGCACTCCCTTATCAATCCTTCAATCTAGACCCCGAAATTTTTATCGTCGATTTTTGTTTCCTCTTTTCGTTTTTTTTGAGAAGCTACACCGTTTGTCCTTGCTGTTTGTAGAACTGGTACATCCATTTGCATTTTGATTTAGAACACTTGCGGCATCAGCCTCAGCCTGCCATATTTTATTCCATTACAGAGCTTAAAGCTTAATCAATGCACACCACAGCTTGATAGAACGACATCAAATCTGCACCTTCCCTTAATTACAACATTGCTTGCCTCTCAACATCTAAGTGAATTAAATATACGGCATGTGCAAAGCTCGCTCCGCCATAAAACCATCACCGCACATGTCCTTCCGATGGTGAAGTATTCAGTTCCAAGCAGACAAAGGCACTCATAATTAATATACATCATGAGTTGCCTCTCCCTGGCACTTTCAACTTTAGCTTTATCTCAATCTTAACTAAGCATCTAAAACTCTCCGGCTTTACTAGTTATTTATAGGTCATTTTAACTATTCAGCATTAGAAAGAATCATGGAATTTAATCCACAGCCTAATTCAAACTTCAACAATCAAATATACCTGCAAGCTATAAAAATGAAAAAGAAAAAAATGCCAGCTTCATAACAATCAAAATTATGGGCAAATGCAAATAAAAACAAGTAATACAACATCTCATTAAAATTGAATCAGTACAAATTATCGATAGAATAATTACAGCTTATCTGTTAATACTTTCCTAAAATATTATAAAGCTAAAGCAGAAGGAATGAGGGTCAAACCCCAAAGAATTTGGAAGAATGTAGAAATCAGTTCAATTAAAGAATCTAAAACTTTAACTAGCGATTAGGATCTCTACACTACCCTCACTACCTCCAGTATAAAAAACAAAGTTCCGCATCCATTTAAAGATGCGGTGAAGGTAAATTGGTTTAGTACTTACACTCCAATTTGTGACACTGTTAGGACTTGGGACAGCCGAGCTATGCATCATTCAGCACAAATGCTGCTATTGATTTAAGAAAAAGATTACCAGTGTACAGCTGATTCTTCTCAGCTAATTCCACGTAAGACATGGGAGCTTGAGTTATCTTCAACAGGTAGATTTAGGTCAGGTAGCATAAAGGAAAACTCCCTACCTCCACCCTCTTGTTTCTGGAAAGAAGCATCTGGTGAAGATGGCTCATGTTTGGTGCATGCAGCAATTATTGGCTTAATTGAATATGTTTCTACTTTTATTTGCTCTGGTTGGTTTGAATTAACTTTTTCTGTTTTAACAACTGATGTATCTGTTTGAGGTGGTTGCTTGGATAACAAATCTAGCTGCAAAGAAGAAAAACAATCACCATAAAGCTATTTCAATGGTAACAGTATATAAAATTTAAGTAGAAGTAATAAGTATTGTTTTTCTATCAGATAATATCATAGGAAGTCATATATAAAATTTAAAAAAAAAAAAAATTGAAAATTTCTTGCTTGCCCCTTACAATTTAGTTTCTGAGTCCATCATTGATGTATGCACAAAAAGAAACTCTGTAAAGTATTTTATCAATTAATCTCGTTCTATATGGAAATTAATTTGTTAGAATAAAAGGATAATGGAAATGCAAGCCAACTTTTTGAAGATAAACTCAGATTTGAGTGCCGGATCTAATATGAACATTAAATACAGCAGATTTCAAGATTAAATAGGATTCCCAAACACAAAAATGAGGTCAAGTGTAACAGCAATGTAAAACCAACACAATTGATGTGTGTAAAAATATAGAAATTTAGGAATGGCCCACTAAAATCATAGGGCTCAGTTATTACAAAGACAGTACTCAGAAGTAACAGATATACCTTTAATCTCTTCAATTTTTCATTTGCAGTCCTCTGTTTCTCTACAGTAAGCCGCAAGTTTGCCAATTGCTGCTCAAAGAATGAATCATAACATTAATATTGAGTACTTAAAAGAGCAAAAAGGATAAAGTTAAGATATGCGAGAAAATTAGAAAGAATTAGAAAACATACATTTTTCAAATTTCTCCTTTCCTTTAACAATAAACTTTCCTCCTCTTTAAGCTCCGGTAATGTCTGAAACCAGCCAAAAGACGTAAACTTTCAGTTATTCTTCATTTTTTTAGTTGACATGTACATTATAATTAAAGTATATTTCTATAATTAAAGTATTATTTATGTATTGAACAATTAGCTAAGCAAAAGTAAGCAAATTCAGTAATACCTTTTTCTTTCTCGATCGCTTAGTTGTCGGTGTTTCATTAGCAGCAGCAACCTGCACACACCGAAAGTGAACGAGAGATTAATATTCATATATATATATATATATATATACCTGCACCACACCGAAACGTGAACGAAGAGATTTAATACTTCATACTATATATACTCATATTATATATATTATATATTACACATTACACATAAAGATTACGTATGGCATATACATACATTTTAATACATATATATATATATATATATATATATTACACATACACATAAAGATACGTATGCATATACATACATTTTAATACATCGGAGAGCAATGGGATCATAAAAAAGAAAAAGAAACCGAAATCCAAAAACAATTTCTTAGGAAATTTCCTGGAAACCATTGTAGGATGAGAACTTCCAAGTTTGAAAAAGTGAAACCCGGTCCAGTCCACGCCACGCCGACCGAGTCCACCAATATCTTTTGGCAGTTCGCCGACAACAAAGGCTCACGTGACCGTGTCTGCTTCACACGTGATTCAAATCTTGAAAAACTTGACCGTAATACAAACTATGAACCCCTCTCCTTCCCAATCTTAAAAAGCCTCGGTCAATTAATTTGGGCATAAAAATGCAAAAAGAAAAATTATGTTAGTTAGAACATGCTTCTGAGTTTGGTAAAATACCCAAAAGCAAACAAGTCAGCTAATTACCATAAATTTTGGTAATAATGTGGTCACCACACCAAAAAGACTCCCTTCGCTGCCAAACGAATTCGCACCAATAAATTCCCACTTTTTCTAAACTTCTATCTTTAACCAAAGCAATCTTTTTTAGTTCCCTGATTTCAATCCCATGTGTAGAACCAACATTTATTTGACCAAAAAAAATTCTACCTTTTACGGCCCGCGATAAAACCTAAAAGAGCTACAGTGACAGCCTGTCTAATTAATTCTGAAAAATCAAAGCCCCAATCAACTGGAAACACAATTTCTCAGAGATACAGAAGAAAAGCAAGGGTTGCGATCGAGCTGTCACGTGAGAAAAGACAATTTTTTAGTGCGCCCGCAGTAAGTGGAGAACTGCGGCGACCACACCAAATCATTTGCCCAATAAAGTGCATAACCACTAACAACACTACACCAAACTACACGCAGACCTATTTTGCCACTAAGACACGCCACCGGTTAAAACAGCTGATTTTTTTTTCTTAAAAAGAAAAATAAAACTGCCTTGACAAAAGTACCCTTCCAGTTATTATAATCTAAAAACAAATAGGGAAACTCTAAATTCGGACACTAGGAGTTTGACCCTGCGTAAGGACAGAATCGTCGTTTCCGAAGAAACGTAGGCGATCATGTATTGACCCGACAAAAAATTTGGATTCTGGAACCGATCTATTGGACGATAACACCACTCTGGATAAGGGCATTGTGGTCTTTTGAATACTTAAAAAAGAACGACAACAACCCCATCGTTGAACAAAAGCAGAACTTTTACTACTATATGAGAAAATTTTAAGATAGAAACTTGAAAAAAAAAGTCGTGAGCTGAAAAGGGAAGGGCATTTCAGTCAAAAGAATTTGGAAAATGGAAATTTAAAAAAAAAAAAAACATGAAACAGCGGCTAGTCCGATGACCAGAATATCCGATCCGGTTGTGGAATGGCAGATTCAGCCATCTAGATTCACGAGATATCCCATGCACCAAGGAGCAAATAATCAGTAAGAAAAAATAAAAATTAGAAAACATAACTCCACGGATGTTATAGTGTAGAAGTAAATATAAAGCTTATCGGAGGGCAGTCTAGTCAGTCCATAAAACGACACCAAAAAACAAACTGAGTGGCCGATTCAAACCCACAACCACCGAAAACTCAAAAGAAACATAAAAAAGGAATCAAACCTTAGATCTCGCGCTGTCAATCGGCTTTACAAGAAGACTGGACTCCTCAAACCCGTCGGCGGCACAACCACTAACGGAAGTGCCACCGCTCCACGAAAGCGGAGTGGTAGGGCTAGCACGAGTAGCGTCAGCTTTCTTTCGTGGTAGTTGCTTAGACCGCCGTTGACGCACCGTCCATTCAAGGCGCAAAGCCGGAGCAGAAATCTTATTGGGTAGAGGCGGTGGTGATTCCGCTTGATGAAGTTTCAAAAGCAACTGAACGACGAGAGTGTCATCGGTCATGGCCACTGTAACCCAATCGTCTTCACTCATATCTGCCTGTGTTTTATTTTAGACAGAGAAAAAGAAGAAGAGAGAAAAAGTGAGTGCAAGAGAGAGAAATGAAAATTCTTTAAGTAAGGAGAAGGATGGCTATATATGTGTGGGCGTGGTGCGTGAGAGATGCTTCCAGCTTCCCATAGTTGTTGACAATAACCCTTTTTTCTTTCCATTTTCTGCTTTTGTGGATTGGTTTTTTATGTTTTATTATTATTATTATTTTAAATTTAATTGAATGTGGGTATGGATGGGCCCACTGGAGTGACCACGTGGCAGTGGCTAATTTTGGCGTTTGTTTTTATTTAAGGGTGATTGGTTTCTTTTCTTTCTTGGAAAATAAAGTAGTAAATAGTACTGCTTCGTATACGGTTCCTCCTTTTTCTTTTTTTCTGAGCTTTGGATTAGTTAGGACTTGATCAATTGACATACACGCGCCAAAAAAGGTTAATGGGTTATGGGTTAGACAGAGAGACACAAGCAGTGTTCCGTTTTAACATTAACATTTTATATTTTTACAAGAAATAAAAAAAATACCGAAACACATTTATTTTTTAAAATAATAATATAATAAAATATCTAAATTAGTCGTTTTAAAATTAAAAATTTTTATTTAATTTTACTATAAATTCAATATTAATTTATTAGCTCAAGATCGTTACAATACTCTATTTTGATGATTAATAAAAATATTAAATTAAATAATTTATTATATAAATTGTGCAAAAGAGTCTTTTATCTGAATTTAAATAGAGACATTCATTAAATGGAGATTCAATTAACCCCGAGGAAAATCAAGACTTAAAGACATTTTTGAAAAATTGAAGTTTATTTGATTAGTGTCTTTAGATATTTTAGGATTAATTAGTATATTGTTAACTAGAAAAAAAAGAGTCACGCGATATTAAGACTATATAAAAATATTTTCTTTTAATTTTTCAAATACTATGATTAAAAAATTTTATTTGGTTAAAGTAATGTTTGAAAAGGGAAAATTTTATTTCACAAATTGCATTTCAAATTAAGTTATCCAAAATTGTGATCTAAAAAAATTTTTGAGGGAAATATTATTTGATTTGAAATCTATCTTGGGCTTTCAAAGAATTTGCCTAATCTAGTCCTTTTAGCCCAAAAACCTTTCCCTCTCTCCAAAATTTATGTGGCCAATTTTTTTATTTCTCCTCTCTCATGTTTAACGTTGACTTGATTCCATCTTACAAACTCTTTCATCTTGATATTCCTATTCTTCATATTTTTATTGTATAAATTCTAAGAGGATGTTATAATTAATCTTTATAAGAGATTTTCAAAACTAATATATTTTATTTATAAAAATCTATTTTCTTGGCTTAATTTGGTATATCATCATTATATCTATTATAGGTTTTGTAAATTTAGAATAACTACAAAAAATAGAAGAGACGTTTACAAGTTAATTGAAAAACTCGTGGGATATAGTTAGTTATAGTTGTTAAGGCTATTTACATTGCACTTAACTTTATTTTTGCCTTTGAAAATAGTTTAATACTCGAGGTGATTTTTTAAGAAGTATGAACTACTATAATTTTTTGTGTTGATTTTTTCCTCATCTCTTTCTCTTTATGATGTTGCTTGACTTTGCAGACTCACTGAAACAATCTGAATTTATATTTTCAAAGATTTTTCAATTAAATTTAATGAACCGACAGCCTGAAAATTTATAATAATATTTTACTGCGAGCACCGCGAGAAACCGAGTCGAAAATCGGTTGAAAAAGCCGTAAACCAATTAAAAATCGAAGATTTGGGCCGAACCGAACCGAATCGACCCAAACCATCTAGAATTTTCTTTTCTTTCTATTTCTAGCGCACCGATAGCACCGCGAGAAACCGAGTCGAAAATCGAGTTGAAAAAAAGCCGTTATAAACAATTAAAAAAATCCAAGATTTGGGCCGAAACCGAACCGAAATCGACCCAAACCATCTAGAATTTTCTCTTTCTATTTCTAGCGCACCTCACTCTCCTTCCCCATTTTTTTTTCTGCGCTTTCTTCTCCCTCTATATCCGGCGACACCATCTCCGCCACCTTCTTCTTCTTCTCCTTCTTCTTTTCTTTCTTTTCTTTTCTTTCTTTCTTTCTTCTTCCACATTGCGTTTCTTGGCGAGAGGCAGAGTCGCAGCAGAGTCGCGCCACCCACGCCATCGCGCGCCATCGCCGTTCCTCGCTGCAGCTCGACGTCGCAGCAGCTCCGCCAGTAGCTCCGCCCTCTGTTACGCCAGTTGCAGCCACACACAGTTCCAGCGCAACATTAGATCGCGTCACCGCTCGCTCCACCACCAGATCGCGACATTGCCTAGCCCTGCCGCCACTCCAGCGTGCCTCGGCGAGACGCAGCGCCTCCTCTACTTTGTCGCGCCATCACCGGCCTGCCGCCGCTCCAGCGTGCCTCCGACCACCAACAGCCACTGCTCTCCGATCCGGCACGCGTGGAAATTTCCGATCTAGCAGAAATTCGACAAAAAATTATTATTGGGGTATAATTAATTTAAATACATTTTTGTAAATTAGTTTGATTTTATTCATGGTAGTTAATTAAATTTAGGTATTAATTATAGTTAATTAAAATTTAGTTAGTTTAATTTTAATAATTTTAGTTAATCTAGTTAATGTTAGTAATATTAGTTAATTAAATTAATTTTATTATTTGTAGTAGATTAATTTAGTAATGTTAGTTAATGAAATTAATTTTTATTATTTGTAATTAATGAGTTAGTTAAGTTTAGTTAAGTTAATGTTAGTAATGTTGGTTAATTAAATTAAACTTATTACTTTGTAGTGGATTAATGTAATTAATTTAATTTGGTAAATGTGGATAGTTAATAGCTTTGTAATTTTAGTGTTGATTTAATTAAGATTAAGATATTTAAACATAATGTTATTGTGTCGGTTGATGTTTGAAGTTGATGGAGGATGGGAAAATTTGATTGATTGATTGCCACGATGGACGGGCTGTGTGGTTTGAAATATTAGATATATTGTTGATTATTTAACAGGTGGATAGTCCAATTATAATAAGTTAATGGGCCTTAAAATAAATTTTGATAGAAAATAAAATAAATTTTAATAGAAAATAAAATAAGAAATAAAATATAATTCAAACGAAAACAAATAAAATAGAGCTAGATAGAAAGATAAAATTTTAGTACAGAAAAGAAATTAGATATCGAGATTAAATTACGTAGAAAAATTTAGAATATAAAATAAAATTCTTAGAAGGGTAAGGAGATATTTTGTCTGATATAATTATTTCTTTTTGTGTCATTCTTACTTTGCTTAGATCGCCCAGGTCCATCTAGTGCTCCTCCAGGACAGAATCAAAGCTAGGACTTCGCTCTCCCTCACTGTGAGTAATAATAAATAATGCATATCAACATTGCATTTGCATAGTAATTATTTCCTAAATATATATTATGTCACTGTTACTATATAATTATATTTATGATTGTACATTTGGATGTATTTGGTGTATTACTTTGAAAGCATTGTTTGATTACTTGTGCTGTGCTATACGTTGCCTTGTTTGTGTGGAATTGGGATGAAGGGTGTAATACGTGAAAGAATTGTTGCATTCGATTGCAATGTTTGATTAGTTGTGTTGTGATATTGCTGTGCTTTGCTTGTGTGGAATTGGGATGAAGTGGGTCACCATGGGTTTATGAGACTGTTTCTGTTATATGGATCCTGATTCTGATTTCCGTTATATTCTGATTCTGTTATATGGATCCTGATTCTGTTTCTGTTAGCCGGGTAAATGGGAGATCGGCGCCCCCGTGTGCACTTGATAATTCTGTTTATTCTGAAACCACAGGATGGCCGCTTGTTGTTGCGCACCTGAAAATCTAGATTTGATTGCAGCCCACAGGGTGGCCTCCTGTTGTGTATGTTAGCCCACGGGAAAAATTGGGGAGGCAATGGGCGGCCGCCTATCCATGTTAATTGGACTCAACCTTGAAAAATTCAGTGTTATTCTGAAATATCTCATCAGGAATGGCTCGCTTTTGTGTTGTTTTTGCTTCACATCTTGAAAATTCTAGAATTTTGATTTGCAATCGCCACGCAGGTTGCCTGCTTGTTTGTGAAGCGCTGTATGTGATTCTAGATTTGGTATGTGAGACCAACCGGGTCGCCATCCTCTGTTGTATGAAAATAAAAAAAAAGAAGAAGAAAGAAATAGGTCTAAACAAGTGAGCAGGGCTGAGTACACATGGACCTGTAGGTGATTAGACGTGACGGTTCAAGGTATGTAGGGAGAAATCAGGCGGTGCCTGGTTGCACGCAATGTGAGATGGATGTATCTCCTATTGTGCGGAGATTGGTCTATTGGTGGTTATCGGTAGTTACTCCACATAAGAATAACTATTGTCACGGCGTAAGCAACTGCTGAATTTATGTTGAAGGGAATTAATTTGTTTTTGTGCGCGTGTCTGATGTAAAGGTTATATAGATTGACTTGTGATTCGTGTATCATTCAAGTTTTACTAAAGAGTGTGTGCATTTTTTGCTTTGAGCTTTAAAAGTGTTTGTGTGTTCAGTTGTTTAAAATTTATTTATTATATTCACTGGAGTTCTGCGAAAAAACTCACCCCCCTTCTATCAGTCCAACAAAGAGCTTTAACCTACGGGTACTTTAAGGTAAGGCAGCTCTTTCGATTCGACTCGAAGTCTACATGAATATCTTCTCCGCAGATGTTTTATTATATTCTATGTTAAATTTTTTCTTATATCAACTGTTTTGTTTGACCTTTATAAGATATTGGGAATGTGCCTAATTATTCTTTTAGCTTTACATGAAGGTAGAAAGAATAAAATAATTTTTCATTGAGTTAACTACGCAGTTTAATATGGGTCCCGTGTATTTCCAAAATCGGAGGTGGCGGGTGATTGCGTTATTGTGTAAATCAGACCTATGTTTCATATGTAGTTATGATGCAGGGTGGATTTAATATAAACCATATTAAATGAAGCTATGACTTATCATCTTATAGGGGTCCTCAAAGACTAATTCTTTATAAGATATCTAAAAATTGGGCCCGAGAGGGATTGTCACAATATATTCACTATCACTCCATATGGTGTATGGGCGTCATGGGGATATCCTGTTAAACGTCGATGAGAGTTACAGGTAGGAGGTAGTTAGGCCTTACCTTACCGAGACTCGCCAAGGAGACGCTTAATGGACTATTTCTGGTAGCTTGTGTATGTATTATACCAGGGCATGAGGGTCCGGGCCCACTGAGTCGGGCGTGAACAGGTACTCCTTGCCCTGCGAAACAGACTTCTGTAACTCACTTAATATATGATTATTCTTTCGATTCGCTATTAACCTAACGTATATTTTTATTCTTGGATGATAATACTTTAATAGCAATTGATTAAATGTAGAATTACACCATCTGTATGATGTTAATAAATTATTATTACGAGTTTGTTAATAGAGTAAGTCGCTTGGATTCTTGAGGGTAACAAATTGATGTTATGAGATGCAAGAGTCTGTCCAATAATACTTAAACGTAGAGCTAAAAAGAAGAATCTTTTCAAACCCCTGAAATGATGAGTAGCAAGTAAGATAGGGAAAGTATATATATCTTTCACATGTGTTGAGAGTGAGTTTGTTTATGCATTATAACACACAATGGAAATTGCGTGTGATTAATCGTAAATGCACTCATAGTCCTATATCTTAGAATAAGAGATATTTGAAGAAGAAACCTCAAAATTGAGGAAACTTACATAAATTTGTATCTCATATGAAAGCACCACCTGTTAGAGTAGTATGTTCCATTTACCATTTTATTTTCAATGCCGATAAACTTTTAGCTAGGTGTGTAGTAAAAATGTGTGAATTTAAAAATTATAATTAACAAACTAGTATAAGATAAAAGATGAGAAAAAGCGTATGTTAAGATGGTGAAAGACGTAAAATAGATGATTGATCGATCCACAACTAATAATACGAGTAAAGACTTTAAAGACAGGTGGATATTTATTAGGCATGAATACTTACAAATTGTTAAAAATAGGCAGAGGCAGCTATATATATAAACTAAATCAACTCATTCCAACATTAGAGTTATAATCACACACAGGGGAAGTGATCTCCTAGCGCGCCGATGAATAAAGTAAACGTATTTAATACATAATTAATATAAAATAGTTCACTTTCAAAAATAAATAAATATATTATTGCATCATTTATAATACTTATTTATTATTCAATTAATTACACACTCTGTTATACATGAGGACAATGAGAGAGGTACTAACAGGCAGAGTGTAGTTTATTTAATGTGGAAACATGATAATTATTTCAACATATGGTTTCACCAGTCTATGACGTTGGGAGCTTGCGAGTGCTGGATCTTCATAGGATCTAATTTTACATTACAAAAAATATTGTATTAGATAGATTTTTTAGATTCAGCACATATTTATTATAATATCACTCAGAATATAAATGGGCTATTACATTGCAATTTAAAATTAGACTCAATATAATTTCTCGAGTTAAAAATAGCTATTGGAAAATAATGTTAGCATAATATTTATAACGATAGGAATTGAGAGATAGATTCGAACATATAAATCATGTATACAAACACACCTCAACTGTAGCAAGATTAATAAGAAACGTATACGCTACATGATGCGAAAGAGAGGATAAGAATTCAATGTAAGTAAATCCTAAGATGAAATAGGACGAGGCAACTGTGTGGTTTATTAATAACATATTTGTCAAAATTAAATATCCAATCTTAAGCCAAAACACTTTATTAAAGTATATTAATACAATATAATAACATAGTAAAGATTTAGTTAACACTTTTCTGATAGTGTAAAAAATTGACGGAAAGAGTGTTCTATGACTGAAAACAATGGGGGACAATTATAATTTTAACAAGTTGATAAATATCCCAATTGCCGTGATTAAAAATAAATTTGCAAATTGCATCAGCAATCATGATAACTATTTTCCCCAAAACTTTGTTCCGAAAACCGGTTCAATTCCCCAAAAAACCTGGGTCCATACCACAACCAACAACCCTCCTAAACCCTGGCTCACCATCTTGTTCCCTGTTCTTCTTCACTTTCAAACCCTACAGTTCAGTTTCCTCTCTTTTTTCACCCAAAACTTCATTGTTCACTTTCGTCATCCTTCATGGCGCTTATCATCTGCGCAGACCCAAACATAGATCTTTCACCACCTACGCTATCCATCTCTTCTCTACTTCTTGCTTCCTCTACAAAAGTCCACCAAGCCAAATCAATTGAACCCTCAAAAAATATATATATATATATATATAAAAGATTTAGTTAACTTTTGAGAGTGTAAAAAATTGACGGAAAGAGTGTTCTATGGACTGAAAACAATGGGGACAATTATAATTTTTACAAGTTATAAATATCCAATTGCCGTGATTAAAAATAAAATTGCAAATTCATCAGCATCATGATAACCTATTTTCCCCAAAACTTTGTTCCGAAAACCGGTTCAATCCCAAAAACCTGGTCCATACCCACAACCAACAAATCCCTCCTAAACCCTGGCCACCATCTGTGTCCCTGTTCTTCTTCACTTTCAAACCCTAGTTCAGTTTCTCTTCTTTTTCACCACAAACTTCATTGTTCACTTTCGTCACCTTCCATGGCGCTTTCAATTGCCAGACCCAAACATAGATCTTTCACCAACCCTACGCTTATCCATCTCTTCTCTACTTCTTCTTCCTCTACAAATCCACCAAGCAATCAATTGAACCCTCAAAACGACACCGATTCTCAGTCTCTGCCCTCCCAATCACCATTCGCTTCTCAGTTTAGCGATCTCAAAGCCAGCCTCAAACAACAGCGACAAAGCCCACAATACCAGAACCAAGAAAACAAACCGAATCGGCCTCCTTTAAGGAAAGCCTTCAATGCGAGCCACTCTACCTCAGGCTCTTTTGAAGAAATTAAAAAGAATCTGGCCGAGTTCCGTTCAAAATCCTCTGTTCCACCTCCTACCGAATCCAACAATGCTGGACCAGTCTCTTACTCTGGCCAGCCACGACAGCAAATCAGGATTTCTGACCTCTATAAGCAACAGAACTTATCACAGGACACGCATGGAAGCAGTGCAAGCACCGAATCTACCCAATTCTCTGGGAGACTCGCATTTGAAAAGATTAAGGAGAGTTTGGCACAGACAAAGCTCTATGCTTCCGGAAAAAACGCTAGCACGGGTAAAGACGCAACGTCGTTTCCTGGTTTTAGGAGCAACTGGAATGTTAAACCCACAAATGAAACTGTACCGATGACGTCTAGTGTGACATGGGGGACTCAGGATTCGGCGTCGCTGTTATCTAGAAAGGAGGATGGGAATGTGAATGAAAGATTGAGAACTACTGAATTCGTGAAAATGTATAGTTATGTGGAGTTGGGAGATAAGTTGAGGAATTTGCGGCCGGAAGTGAAGGATGGAGAAAAAGGGTCGTTTTCATTGGCGGAGCTGAATGAGAGGCTTAGGAAGCTAAGACAAATTGAGGAGAAGGAGGCCGAGTCAACGATGGGTGGTGTACTTCTTAGGGATATACGGGCGAGCTTGTTGGTGCTTGGCAAAACTCATGAGGAGAAGTCCAGGAAGAGTTCAAGTGAGTATATATAAATGCCTTTACCACCTTATGGTTTTAATTTTGTTTTGATTAGAAATGCAGGAAAAGAAATAAAATTTGGGACATGGCTGCAGTTATGTTTTTTGGTGGGCACTTTTAATTGTTTATTGACCTTTCTGTTATTGAGTTGTGTAGAGAATTTTATGCTATTTGGATAGTTTATAATAGAAGAATACAAGGAAGGGCAATTTGTTGCTTTGTGAGAAATCAGTGAGCATATCTTAAAATTTTTTGAAGTGTAAATAGCACGAAGTATTTTGTATAGTTTGAGTCGTTTGTTGATGTGATGTATGAAGTCAGAGACATGGGGTTAATATGCATCTTATTAGAGTTGGAGTCATAAAGAAGAAAAAAAGCTAAAGTCTTCCCAATATTTTTGGGTTAGGCATAAGACGATTTTGACTGATTTATGTTTAAATTCTTGTGACAGATACCTTATCTATTAGAAAAGTAATTTTAGGCTTCTGCTCTATCACAATACCAGGGAAAAGAAAAGAAAAGTGAAGATTTTTTTACTTTTGTAGCAGAATGGTGGAGACTTGAATTTTTTTTATGTGCAGTCCTTGCAACTTGTTAAAATAGTCCTCCATTCATTTCGTTAGAACAGTTGAAAGGAAAAAGAGTATACTGCTTCTGCTTCGTGATAAATTCTAAAGGTGACTGCTTGAATTTCCTTTTTTTTAGTTTTTTTCTGGTTACATATGGGGGGTCTAGACCCCAAAAGACAAATTTCACTAAAACAATCTGGTGAATTTCCATAATGACATGTGAAAGATGATAAATAAATCTTCAGTTTACTTGATATCTCGAGTTAGTTCTGTCAGCATTCAGGAGGACATTTTGATTCCTTAACATAGTTATTTAGAACTATATTACACTTGAACTGCTTTCTTTCTTTCTTTCTTTTTTTTTTTTAAATAATAATCTGCATGTCTACTGGTATCTGGCAAGTGTCGAATCTTACTGTGGCTAATTTTCAGGAATGAAAATGTGATGAAGAATTTTCTGAATTCTAAATGCTCGATGAAGAAACTCCATTAGATATATTTATAATATATTTATAATTTCGTGAATTGTATATGCAAATTTTGTCAAGAGTTGCTCGCTGTGATGTGAATCTTCTGCTATACTACATGCTGATGCGGATAGATGCAGTTTTGCATACTTATTTTTTGGGGTTGATTTGGCTTTGACAGGGTTTGATGGTTTTGCATTCTTTAAGGCAAGATATGTATGACCTGCAGAAATTTCCTTACTAGGTTTATTTTTTCAGGCCAACCACTAAATATATGTACTTCGTTAAGTTCAACACCAAGTTATATGACGCTTCCACCAAAGGAGCCATTAGTTGAAAAGGCGAGTACAAGTTTTGTTCCTTGTTATTAACTTTTCTTTCTGTGTGGTAGCATGAAGGTCCATAATGTTTGTGCTTTACCTCAGCCTTTGTTCTTTATGATTCTATTTTGTATTTAAGGTTTTTGTTGGGTTTTTTTGGCAGCTGATATTTTAAATTTGCTTTTCTTCTTCCGATTCAAAGACAAAGGAAATTTATTAGTTATCGCATATTCTTAGTTGGAGTGTGTTTTTGTTCTTTACCATCAGATATCAACACTTGCTGATTTCTTGTTATCTCAATATGGTTTATGCAGTATTTCCATCCAGATAACATGTCTTCTGCTGAGAAAATGAAAATTGAACTTGCGAAGGTTAGAGAAGAATTTAAAATGTCAGAGTCAGATTGTGGATCTGCGCGTGTGCAAGGTATTGGGCCATTTCTTTTTGGTTTCATTTTGATTTGCACCATGCTGGGAAGGGTAGCTACTTGGTTATTCATTGCAAGATGCACCTGCATAATCTTTAATTTTATGCATGCTGTGCATATCATTTGATATTCTGACAAAATGTCAATAGAATGTCTAATCTGATTTTCTGTGGCCAAAAGTTAGTAAGCCCAAGCTAATTGTTGCTTAGGAAATTGATTTCAGACCACTTCTTAGGGTTATTGTTCAAGTCTTTTTTTGGGAGCTATCTTTTAGGGTTGTGTTCAAGTTTAACTCCCATTACATAGGAAAGGAACAGCAACAATAACTTTGTTGAGTTAGTTAACTGCTTTACTGGAGCAGTAAACTGCAATTAACTCGGCTCAATCCTGAACTTTTGCGGTGTGATTCTCCTCGCATTGCATTATGGCTGGGCCTTGTACATTTTTTTCAGTGGAGTTAAGCAGAAAAATATTTGACAGAAGAAAGATGAGAAAAGGAAAGTAGAGCACTATGTGGTTAGAACCACAGATAAAGCCTCTAGGGAGGAGATAAGTTTGTGAACTGATTTATTTTTACGAGGACAGAACAGATATGAATCCTATCCTGTGACTTCTACACAAAAATTTTGAGATAAGAATGTGATAGGATATGGGATAAAAGCACCCCTTTTGCAGAAGGATGTGGTTTTGGTAATGGATTAAATTTGAATTGGGAATCAACTAGTGTTTCAGCAGCAAATGTTATTGTGTCAATCTTTCAACAGTGGAACTGAATGATTATTTGGAGAAACTTCCTTGATTCATTTCAAATTCTTAGCATAGATTAGATGGAATTAAATATGATATATTTCTATAAGGTAATATTACATTGAAATGATTGCCTAGCACTTCTATGAACATGGTTAATGGAGTATCATTATGTAAAAATAAGTTATGGGAGTGTGTATGAAAGGGTTTTATGCAGAGTGTTTTTTGAATTTGTATCCGCATAGATACTGAGAAGTGCTCAGGTTAGAGTATCGAAAGCCTTAGCTATGGTGTTAAATAACATTGACGCACATGTTGCTTCGGATATGGAATTTAAACTAAGGATCGGATTGGATCTTTATTGCAAAGTTTTTTTTTTTTTTTGGACATAATGAATAACTCCCGTTTTGGCCTTTAGCTTGAAAAGAGATCATGATCTGATCCTTTGGGGAATCGATGGGTTGGCATTAGAAAAGAAGTATCAAGAACATAAATTAGACTCTCGCTGCTCCCGGTCTCCTTTTGGGTACTCTCCGTGTATACTTTTTTGGTAGTCTCTTTTAATGGTAGAATACTCATTATGCATCTAAAACTAAGATTATAGAGTTACTCTGTGATTTATGTAAAAGGAAAAGGAAAGTAAAATGTTAGTGTTCAGTAGCGAATATCATATCTTAATCAACCTTTTTTCAAGCCAAATTATGAATTAGAATATTTAGGATAATATGCTGATATTATAAAACGCCCTTCATAAAGAGATGTTGTTAGTTGACCAGTGAAAGTTTATACTTGCAATATATGTGAAAAGAAGACCTTATCTGTATATTTCATCTATCCATAGAAAATTTTTCTTCACTATTCAAGGTCAGTTATTCCATTTCTTATTAATCTTAAGGTTATCGAAACCCTAGAAAGCAATAGAACTCCAATATTAATTGAGGTAGATATTAGCATAAAATTTTATGTACAAGAAGACTATCAAATATAATCTTGAAACAATAGAATAAGAAAACAGGCGATTAAAACAAAGGCAAGAGGAAGACCTTAATATCTATTTATAAAATTCTTTTGCTTGAAAACATAAAAGTACCAAGCACTTTTTACATCATCAAAAGTTTTATTTCTACCAATGGAAATCTATGTCCATTTTGGATAATTGACTTAAAACCATTCAAGTTCAATTCGAAATTAAAGACCATTTCTTATAGACATTGTTTATCATATGTTAAAATAATTTTTAATGAAGGTGTGGTATAAAGGTATTTGTAAATTTTTGAATTTTAGTCCCCATAGGTACTAGAATGGCTCCCATTATATCGCAAAACCTTTAACTATGTTAAATAACAATTACGGCCACAGTTCTTCGGAATATGGAATTAAACTAAATCATTTGACTTTATTGTCAAGTTTTTTTTTTATGGAATAATAATAACTCCCCCTTTAGCTAAAAAGATATACTATCCTGAATCGTATGGTGCAATTAAGGAAAAGAAGTGATCAAGGAACATAATTAGCTGCTTCGGCTGCTCCCTCTCCTTTTGGTACTCTCCGTGTATACTTTTTGTGTATCTCATTTTAATCTAATACTCATTAATGGCAATATCTAAAATAGGATTATAGGATGTTACTACTTGATTTTATGGTAAAATTATAAAAAAGGTAAAATGTAGGTTGTCAGGTTGCAAATCAATCTTAAGCAATCCTTTTTTCAAAAAAAAACATTATCTCACCTCCAGCTTTTGCGCATCTAAAACTAAGATTATAGAGTTACTCTGTGATTTATGTAAAAGGAAAAGGAAAGTAAAATGTTAGTGTTCAGTAGCGAATATCATATCTTAATCAACCTTTTTTCAAGAAAAAAATTATCTCACCTCAGCTTTTGACTTTCTGTTTATTTTCATATTTGGCAATAATATCAACAAAAGCAAAGGTTCTTTTGGGTTGGAAACGTTAGTCTATACATGTGTAGTGGCCACTCATGGCATCTTTGTGTCCCTTTAGTGATTTTCCCTCATGGATTATTTATGCCCTTTTACTAATTGCATTGCAGTGGCTCAACTAACGACTAAGATCAAGCATCTATCTTCAGTTCTGCACAAAAAGGTGAAATTGGAACTAAAGAATTTTTTTTCTTATATTATTATTTTATTTGAGTGTCTGCTTAGTGACATATAGTGGGGGTGACTTCCAGTTTTCTTATCCTATTGGGAAAATTATTGTTTATTTTACCTGTTGTATGAAAATTCAAATGGAAACATTGATGTTTATATATTTTGATCTCAAGAGCAAAGAGCCTATTGCATAAAATATTGTTATTCCACTATTATTAAGAGGCCCTCATTCATATGTCCAGAGAATTTTTAATAATTTTCCATTAGCAACAGATTCACCTTTCTATGGATAACCTGATCAACCTGATTTAAAATCATTAAACAAAGGGATCATAGAATTACCAGTCTTATGAGACAATTTTGTTGTATTACTTGCATGCATTTCCTGATTCGTAAGTATCATCGCAATATCTTCCTCAACTTAGCTCATTCATGATTGTGGCAAAGCCCACAGGATTCTAGAATGTTATATATGATAGTTTGCTTGGTTTGTAAATGGCTTGATACATAAATTAACACTTGAACTTTACAAGAAAAGCCTAATGGCAACCTCAACTTTTAAGTTGATCCAATAGACCTTTCAATTTATAAAATTGTATCTATCGAATACTTCAATTTGTAAAATTGTACCTTTTGAATACAAATTTGCTCATTTTTCAATTACCAATGTATTTGATGAGTTGGATACTTTATTCATCTGTTAACACAAATTATTAAACAATGATTTGCACATCTTTTAACTATCTTATAATAATTATTCAATAAGTACAATTCTCTAAATTGAAATATTTAATAGGTAATTTCACAAGTTAAAATATTTAATAACTATATTTCTACAAGTTGAAGGGTTTAATAGATCAATATTAAAGTGGAGAGTACCAATAGGTTTTTCTTATGAAGTTCATGTATTGATTTATATATTTGGTCATTCATAAATATAGTAAGTTATCATATTGTTTTGTGTGTGTTTTCCTTGACATATTGTCTTGAATCACATGATGTTATCCAGGTTATTAACTAGGTGACCTTTACTTGCATGGTGAAGTGATGCCAGTTATACATTTCGGCGTTCATAAATACATTTAGTTATTTTACCAGAGTACATGTTGTAAATTTATTGTGTTTTCCTTGACGTATTGTCTTGAATAATGTAATGTTATCTGTCTTATAATAAAAATTAATAGACAGGTTATTGACCAGATGAGCTTTACCTGCATGGTGAAGTGACGTCACTGACTGCTATGCATGGACGTGTGCTTCCTAGTGTAGAAGCATTGATTTTATCTTAATCATGATTTGATCCTGAATTTTTAGATTTGCTAAATGCTGCTGGAATGGTTGTTACTATTGCCTTTGCAATGCTGCTAGCTGTTGTTTTGACACCACAAATAAATGCTGATGTGTGATTTCAATGTCGTCCAATATAAATTCTCTTCTGATACGGCTATGTTTTTGTTGTTGCAAATGCTGTAGGATAAGCACTCACGAAAAGGTCTTCAAGAAATGGTGCAAAGAAGAAAGAAGCTGTTGAAGTATCTGCGAAGGACCGACTGGGATTCTTACTGCTTTGTTCTCTCTAAACTCAGTCTCCGCGACAATCCAGATTTCAAGCACTAGACTAGAAATTGTTGACTTGCTAGGCTAGGCTAGGCAGTGATACAAACCTCATTGTTGTTTCTGTTTCTGAATCAAGTTAGTTAATTTATCAAAATTTTGTATAATTTCTTCAGGAGGGAGAGATGGTCTGTTCATTTTCCCCTCTTTTTCAGAGCAAGTTCATTCAAAGATTTGATTTTTGAATATTTTTAGGTTTATACGATTGCAAAAAGATAGGAAATTTTAAAGTGTTCCATTGAAATAAGGTTGGTATCTTTCGACTGCGCAAGGAAAAAAGAGGAGAAAATGGATGTACATAGATGCCTATTATCTCAGTTTTATTGTTGGAAATTTGGTTTAGTTTGATGATCAAAATTTGCTGGTTATCTATATTCTTTCTGTTGGCATTCTTTAACTGGAATGCCCCCCAACTCATTAAATATGAATAAAAAATTATTTAACATTCTATATATATATAAATATATACGCGCCATCTGATGTTTATTATGCACAGGGATGTATAAATAGATCGATGACGACTTGTCAATTCAAAACAAGGATAATAGTGATTTAAGATAAGTGCTGGAAGAATTTAATTTAGAAGCCAAGAAACGATGCCGTTTGCATTAGTTCTATTCTATTTTAACCAACATAGTAGTCTTCGTTGACCTGTTCCACAGATGATGTTTGCTTTTAGTTGGGCTCTCGTCTTCCCCGTTGCATTTATGACTCTCATCGGCAGATGCAACTAGCCCTAAATCGGTGAGTATAAATTTTTATTTTTTTAATAGTTTTGGCTATTGTGGCAATTAATTTCTTGATTCAATTTCCTTTATGTCACAAAATTTCTTCGTTCTTTTCCAGAATCTGATAGTTATATTGAATGGGGGAAATATTTTGTTGTTAGTACGCGAATTTGAAGAAAATGAGTTGATATACAAACAAAATAAATAAAAAAAAGATGATATTTTTAGGATTTTAATTTGTTATGAATAGATGATAAACTCTAGTTTGAATTTTATCTGTTAAAATGTGATTTATATGTCTTGTGATTTCATTTCCTTTCTTCAATTTTCTAGCTTCATTTCATTGTGATGTAGATGATTAAAATGCGTTGACATAAAGCTGAATGTTGACTTCAATTTGTCGCACTGAATCGTCTTTTATCTACCTGGCTATGGCTTCTAATTTTCATTTATTTCTTGAACAGGATTGCTTAATTTTTTCACAGCTTTACTCCTGAAACAATTTGTAATCTCACAACTTAAGCACAGGTAATCTCTTGTGGTTTGTTAATTACAAGAACATATTAATGTTATCAACACTTAACCTCGTAATATGTTCATAAGGAGATATATGAATCTTTGTTCGGGCGTGAAGCAGGAAATGCCAATTCTCAACTGAGCAGAATGGAGAAGGCCAAGATAAAAAAGGCAGGATTGTTGTTGGATATTCCTTATGATGTACTGTATGACATACTACTAAGACTACCTGTAAGTTCACTCATACGATTCAAAGCTGTGAACCGATACTGGCATTCTTTGATTTCAAGTCATGGGTTTGCCGTTGAACATTTCAATATTCAAGCTAATAGGGTAAGACCTAGCCCTCGTAGATATGGAGTCATCCATGTATCAAGCATTCTGCAACAACAACTGCCTCGTCTTTCTCTATACATGCACAGAAGAATTGAAGAAGAAGAAGATTCAGAAACTGCTTTAGTGGAGGCTGTAGGGGTTCGTAATACTCTTGAACTGCTAGAAGATTACAAAAGCACCCATGACACTCGGGTCTTTGGTTCATGTAACGGGTTGTTGCTTATAGGTCACGATAATGTGCCAAAGTGCTTCGTCTTGTGGAATCCATTAACTGGGCAGGAGAAGAGGTTACCATTGAATCACTTTAGCGATTTTCCTATGAATTTTATGGCTGGCCTTGGTTATGATTCTTCCTCTGATAATTTTAAAGTGGTTGTGGGAGTTTTTGATGGAGACACACGGTTAACCAAAGTTGCTGTTTATAATCTTAAGACCAATTCCTGGGCTACGGTGGAAAATACTGAAACCCGTTATGAGTTTTCTTCGAACAAACCAGGGATCACTCTAACAAATGGAGCTCCACATTGGATGCTAAGGCATGGTGATACTGGCGGTTTAGTGAATATTCTAGTTTACTTCGATTTAGTTGAGGAGAACTTCAAGGAGTTGCCACTTCCAGACGCGCTAGTATCTCGTAAGAACATTTTTCTGAGTTCTTGCAAAGGTTTCCTTTGTGTAGGTGGATATTCTTATGTATCTTCAAAAAGTTACACGATCTGGATAATGAATGAATATGGTGTGAAGGAGTCTTGGACTATATTGATGGAAATCCCAGACATTAGACCTTGTTACCAGATTCTAACATTTCAACATTTGATGTCATTGCGCATTCCAAAGAAGTCTAAAGCTCTAATATTGTTAGATTGGAATAGTGTAGCCAAATATAGTAGTCTAGGAAGTAAGGGTACGGCTGTTTCCTTCTCTGGTGATCAAGAAGGGTTGATGGTAGCTGCATTCGTGGAGAGTCTTATATCACCCAATAGTTTTGGTTGATGGCAAGAGCTCTTGCGAGGGGTTGAAAGACGAAAAATAGGTGAGATGGTAATTCTTTTACCTTGGTATCTTCATTTTCTGTACATCTCGTTCGCCCCCTTTAAAATACTGAAATATTATTTGGCCTCTAAAATCCATGTTATATTAGAAAAAAAAAAAAAAAAAGAGCTCTGCGAGGGTTGAACGAGACGAAGAAATGTGAGATGAATGTCTTTACCTTGGTATTTCATTTTCTGTACATCTCGTCTTCGCAACGCCCCTTTAAAAGATACTGAAAATATATTTTTTGGGCCTCTAAAATTCCATGTTATAATTTAGAAAAAAAAAAAAAAACAAAAAAAAAAAAAAAAAAAAAAAAAAAAAAAATCCCCCTGTTTTTTTTTTTATTAAAAGGTTATAAACAAAATATTACCTTTCTGCAGAAACCGTGATTTCAAGATATATTTGCTTTCATTGGATGAGATTGCAAGCCAAAAAAAAAAAAAAAAAAAATCCATGTTATAAAGTAAACAAATATTACCCTTTCTGCAGAACCTCATTTTCAGATATATCTTGCTTTCATTGATGAGATGCAAGCCAATGAAGGATCCAGTAGGTGCTGATGTGCTGAAGAAGAGTGTCCTACTCTCCTTAGTATCTAAATGATTTATTTATTTTTAAATAATTTTCATTTTCATCTTCAACCCTCTCTTATTTCTATTTCCTTGGTTGGCTTTAATCTTTCAAAAAAAAGTATAATTGATTTATCACTTCTTATTTCCTTGTTTGATATTTCTTGCTTTAATGTTTTATATAAATAATTATTATATATATTTAAACCTAAACTAAAATTAAGAATTACTGTTATATGTCAATTATTATCTCACTTCTTATTTAACATTTACACTGCTAATAAAAATTATAATTTATTTAATAAATTTCTTTTTTATCCTATAAAACCTATTTTTCTAAACTTAAATGTTTTACTTTTATTTATAAAATAATTTTATTCAATATTTTCACCTTTTTAATAATTCTAAAAGATATATTTTCTGAAATTTATCAAGTGTAGAATTTATTTAAAAATTACTTTAATATTATTAATATAATTAAAAACTTATAATCGTTAAAATTTTTAATAAATTTTATTTATTTTATATCACATGTATAATTTTTAATAAAATTTATTAATTTTAAATAATATCAAATTAAATATCTTTTTGACCCTAATAAGCCTTTTAATCTTTGCCCTCTGTTTTTTATGGGGTGGGTGACGGGTTGATTATGAAAACCATTATAAAAACAAATGACTCCGGAAAGCTGACATCTTGAATGTAAGCAATCAAATCAACCTCATTCATTAATTGGACATGCATTATTTAATCAATTGATTGTCTTTCCAGAAATATATAAATTTAATCTTATATTTTATATTAAAAATTCTTACCTTAAAGGCTTAAACTCTTAATTTTATTTTAATTCATTAACGCTTCAACTTATAAACTTGTATCCATTAAATATTTTAATTTGCGAATATATTCTATTGAATGCTCGATCTTATAAAATCTTATTAATTCAACACTTATTCAATAGTTGAAAATGTAAAAAATATTGTTTCAAATATTATATTAATTACACATCAATTAAATATTTTGCACATAAATATCAAAAATATTAAAATGGATCTGGTCGAGTTTGTTGGTTTACCATTTAAACCGGTTATCTGACTCAATCTATAAATTGTAAAGATAATTAACTTTTTATAATCTATTATATTTTCAAATCCGTTCGATTAAATTAAATTGAACCACATTCAGAGATGGATTTACTATAGAGGTAACCGGGGCACCTACTCCTATTGATTTTTTGAGCTTTCAGTTTATGATTTTTAACATTTTAGTGTATATAATTACATGAATTTGAATTTATTCTACTAAATTTTTATATTTCATCTTCAATAAATTATTATTTTTATATATTGTCACTGTTAACTAGATATTTTAAATCGGTCCCTGATCATATTATTGGAGCTGGATCGGATTAATGTTGTTGGAACTAAACCCGGCCCCATGAATTGATAATTGATGTAAACGTCGTCCTCTCTAATGTCTATAAATGAATGCAATCCCTTCTTTTTGTCTTTTAGTTTGCTAATTTCCACTGAATTCCCCATTCTAGTGCTATGCTAACACCACGGGAAAATTATCATCAAGGCTTTAACTTACCACCGGATTGTTTTTTTCCCAGAGAAAAGAGAATATAAATTTAAATATTGGACTCCACTGAATAATTTGTTAACTAAATCTCTGTTTGTTTTTAAAAAATAATTTACTTTTAAAATATATATTTTTTAAATGATTTATTTTCTACTGTTTGGTTGGAATATTGAAAATTAGTTAAAAAAATATTTAAATCTTTAATTGACTGTAAAGTATTTATAATAATAGAAATTTCGTAGTTCAAAAATTTTATTGTTAAATATGAGAAAAAAAATAAAAAAAAGTAAATTATAAAAATTGCCGGTGATTAGTGGTGGTTGCTAACGTTGAACGGTGGTGAGTTGTTGTGAACCGTGCCTGGTGGTAGTGGACACCGGTGATTAATAAATTAAAAAAAAGCATTTATAAAGTTATAATAAGTTTGTCATATCCGAAAATTGTTTTCCTTTCTTGAAAACGAGAAGTTAATTTTTTAAAAAATATTAGTTTTTTTTTTATCAGAAAATATTTTTCGAAAAAAAAAATAAACAGAAGAAAGGTGATATAAATTAAACAGAGATATTGTAAAAAAAGAGAGGGAGATACTTCATAATTAGTTAATTATGTGGAGGCTTAGGGTTGCAGAGGGAGGCAATGACCCTTACATTTACAGCACAAACAACTTTCTTGGAAGGCAAATATGGGAGTTTGATTCTGATGCTGGCAGTCCTGAAGAGCGAGAAGAGGTCGAAAAGTCTCGACAAAATTACTGGAACAATCGTTTTCAGATCAAACCAAGCTCTGATCTTCTTTGGCAGTTTCAGGTATACATGAAACCTCCATTTTTAACTTTGTTTTCGAAACTATGGATGAAGTAAATTAATATAATATGTTTCTGTATATTGTTTTTCATTTAATTAGGAAGTAGAAGCTCATCTTTAAGATAACACATATGCCTTCATGTTATATTTATTTATTATTTACGGAGTTTGAGGAGTTTCTTTTTCTGAAAAACATTCTTTTCCTTTATTATACGTAATATTATAAATTTGTTTCTTTTTTCCTGAAAAACATTCTTTTGCCGTTTATCCTTTATTATACGTAATATTATAAATTTCCTATATTATAAAAATAAAATAAATTGAGTTATTATTAAAATAAATTTTTTTTTATGCACATGCAATAAGACAGAAATTATAGAATTTGTTACAAAAATTTATGGAACAATAAATTAAATACGGGGTTTAGTTAAACTATTATATGGATTAAAATAGATTGAGTTAAAATAAATGAAATAAATAAATAATATATAATTGTAAAGATGAGATAGGGACCTAATTCTTAAACCATAAATCAAACTTTGATTATTTCAATGATTTACCCAAAACACAAAGAAAATAAAAAAATTATAACAAATAACTTATACCTTGAACTTTACAAGTATATTGCTTAAAGTTGAATTGAATATAATTAATTATGATAAATTTATTTTCTTGTTCCTCGCTTTTTGACGCACTACTCCAAAAAAAAAAAATAATAAATTTCTTAATTCTATCTCTTCATATATATTTAATTATATTGAAAAGTTCCAAATAAAATTAATATCAGGAATTTTATTCTTTTTAATTTGAAATATTTGTATGCTATTGGCATAATACAAATTTATAAATTGTATTTTTATTTAATTTGAACTATGCAAAAGAGAGAGTAAAAAGTATGAGCTAGGGATACTATTTATCGATAAACAGTGACAGCTCTAAACTAAAACTAGAATTAAAAAACTAAATAATATAATTAATATAGTTAAACCTAAAGTTTTACTTTTTTTTTTAAAAAAGAAAAACCGTAACCTTTACTTAATTGTGGTTTCATGTAATGTGAAATTTCTGAATTTTATATTCTATTGTTTGGTTGAAAAATAAAATTAATCAATTTGAAGGATATGTTTGAAATAAAATTAAATGCGTAAGAACCATCAAATTGAGAAAATGTTTTCTCTAAGATGAAAGTTCGGTATTAAATTTTTGGTTAAAATTTTCTCTAAGAAAATAGTTTCTTCCCTCTGGCATTAAAATTTTGGTTACCTTTCTCAAAAAAAAAATGGTCGCTCTCTGTTGCAATAAACACAGTTCCTAAGGGAGAAAAAGTTCAAACAAACAATTCCTCAAGTGAAGCTGCAAGATGGCGAGGAAATTACATACGAAAATGCAACCGCCGCTTTACGACGGAGCGTCCACTTATTTTCAGCCTTGCAGGCGAGCGATGGCCATTGGCCTGCAGAAAATTCAGGCCCATTGTTCTATTTTCCTCCATTGGTACTCATCGTTGCTAATATTTTCAAGTCTCTTATCTTTGTAATTACGGAAGTTTAAATCAAGCTCTAATTCAGATTTTATTGTACTTTCAACTTGAATCTTTTTTAATTGCATTCCACTCAAATGCAGGTTTTTTCTTTATACGTAACAGGCCATCTTAATACTGTCTTCTCTGCAGAGCATCGCAAAGAGATACTACGCTACATATACTGTCATCAGGTATATGATTCTGCTCGAAATTAATTAAATTTGTAAAGGAACTCAGACTTCGATAATTTTGACGGCTACCTTTTCTTTTGTTCTTATGTTTAATGGAAATTATTGTGTATATCTTTATAGAATGAAGATGGTGGGTGGGGATTACACATAGAAGGTCACAGCTCCATGTTTTGTACCGTTCTTAACTATATATGTATGCGCATACTTGGCTGGAAAAGATAATGCTTGTGAAAGAGGAAGAAAATGGATTCTTGATCATGGTGGTGCAACTGCCATAAGCTCTTGGGGAAAGACCTGGCTATCCGTAAGCATATATTTATAACGTATTCATATCAATTTAAAATGCCCAAGAGCATAATTGTTTCGGGTATTGGGTAAAATATTTTAATTCAAGTTGCATTAATTTCATATGATGGTCAATAACTTCGATTTGTTGCAATTTTGTAATTATAGAACTATAAATTTATTGCAATTAGGTTACTATCACATGGATACAAGAAGTGCTTTGAAAATTTTAAATTTTATGAGACATTTAATTTATGGCTAGTTTACCCATAAGGGGAGAGATTAAGGTGTCTTCAATTTAGGACTTGTTCGCTGTATGCTAATTTGCAAATGCTGCATCTTATTTTTAGTGAGCTCACTGGAAGTAGTGAGATTAGCCTAATGCAATCAAATTGTAACAAATTGAAGTTATTTGCCATGGAGAAAATTTATAAAAAATCAGTTACAGTTAATATATATACACAAGCATTTTGTCTGTAAGGTTCTAATCTATTGTTCCAAAATGGTCGCCATTTCTTGTAACATAGATACTTGGAATGTATGAGTGGGATGGAAGCAACCCTATGCCCCCAGAGTTTTGGGCGTGTCCAATAATTGTTCCTCTGCATCCAGGTTTTGCAAATTATCTTTCCCATACACTTATCCAAATATCTTGGTCTTTCTAACAATGCTTTAGCTGCAGACTTTATACTCTTGTGTGCTTGTATCTCTCAAATATTATTCATTATATTTCTTAACTGCAGCAAAAATGATGTGCTACTGTCGGCTAACTTATGTGCCTATGTCGTACTTGTATGGGAAGAGGTTTGTTGGTCCAATCACATCTCTCATTTTACAAATAAGGGAAGAAATCTAGGGAAGAAATCTACAATGAACCTTACAACAAAATCAATTGGAAGAATGTACGTCATGTATGTGCAAAGGTATAAATCTGCATTCATTTCATCTACAGGAATTGATTCTTAAGACTTGGTAGCATTTCATGCTCAAAGAAGCTTGATCCATTATACAAAATCAGTATGATTTTGCAAAACCTTTTGTTACTGCAGGAGGATAACTACTATCCCCATCCAATGATACAAAAACTGCTGTGGGATGCTCTTTATATATTTAGTGAGCCTCTTTTCACCATTTGGCCCTTCAACAAATTGAGAGAGAAGGCTCTCAAAATAACGATGGATCACATTCATTATGAAGACGAAAACAGTAGATACATTACCATTGGATGTGTGGAAAAGGTACACGGTCATGGCAAGCAGAAAACCATGCATGGATAATGTTTGTGCACTATGTATATATTCCTTCTCATTTGACTTATGTGTTGTTTGAAATGAAACAGCCATTAAACATGCTTGCCTGTTGGGTTGAAGATCCCGATGGGGATGCTTTTAAGAAGCATCTTGCTAGGATTTTGGATTATATATGGGTTGGAGAAGATGGCATAAAGATGCAGGTTGGTACGCATTCCTGTATGTGAAATATATCAGTACCAATGAGTTCGTTGTTATTTTCATTTGAAATTAAGTTCAATACTTGATTTTTGAAGTACCTGATTTTCAATTGCTAATAGAAGCATACTAGATGTAAAAACCACTGAGGTTTTTCTTCAGAGTTTTGGCAGTCAAGTATGGGATACAAGCCTTGCCCTCCAAGCTTTGATGGCTAGCAATCTCTGTGATGAAATAGGACCTACACTTAAGGAAGGACACAACTTTATAAAGAACTCTCAGGTACCTATGTTTTTTCCCTAGAACTACTTATTCCTTGCGGCATCAGGAGTATAACAACATATAATGCCTGTGTTTCATTTTAATTTTATTTTTGCTTCAGTGCTTATCCCTTTACATATCTGACAGGTAACGGAGAATCCTTCTGGTGACTTCAAGAGAATGTTTCGTCATACCTCCAAAGGAGCTTGGACATTCTCTGATAAGGATCAATAAGGATCATGGATGGCAAGTTTCTGATACCACAGCAGAAGGTTTGAAGGTAATTATGTAGTTTTTCCTGAACTTTAAATATGTTTTTAAGAAGCTTGAGAATCAAATATCAAGGGTAATTTCTAAACCATAATTAAATTATCTTGTGATCGCTAGTGTTGCCTGCTTTTCTCGATGATGCCTTCTGAAATTGTTGGTGAGAAAATGGATGCCATAAAGCTGTATGATTCTGTCAATGTATTACTTTCTCTTCAGGTAAGGATTCAATGCAGTAAAAATAATGCCATTGTCCCTGTTTCTCATCCCTTTTCCCCTAAAAGAATGGTATATCTGCTTGTTACCCTTTACTATATTCACTTGATACTTCTTTGTGAATGTTTTTCATAAATTAACATTCTGCATAATTTTATAAATTGTTATAGAGTGAAACTGGTGGTTTCTCAGCTTGGGAGCCAGCAGGAGAAAGGTTATGGTTGGAGGTAAGTAATTCAGGATACTGAACTGACCTTAAAAACTCTAAATTTGCTTTCAATTTGCTAGAAATATAAAACCTAGCTAATATTCCTTATCTAACTGAATTTTAAATTGAGTGAATCTTTAATATGTTTTAGACATTTGACATAAATATCAAGTGCACAAATATAAGGTGTCCCTAGATATTTTTATGTGATGGAATTTTTGCATAATTTTTTTACTCATTTTTGGACTTTTATACTAGTTTGATTTTATTTTTTTCTTAGTTATGTTATTTGACATAGATATTTGGAGTTAAAATTGTAGAAGCAAGGTTAGCAAGTCTGGCCCATTAGTTAAGAAATTTACCCAGGTAGTAATGATTTGTACTTTGTGTCCAATATTTAGCTTGTGCCGTTTGTTATCTTATGATAGATTATTTGACATGTGCCATTGTTTTCAACTAGTGGCTCAATCCTGTGGAGTTCATTGAGGATCTGGTGATTGAGCACGAGTAAGGTTCTTGCTCCTTTATCCATTTATGATAAACTAAAACTATATTTGGTATTGTTGTAATGTACTACTCTGTTACAATATACCAAATCTAAACTTAGTAGTCTTAATATCTTTCCTCTAGTTACCTCGATACTGCAAGGTCCCAACTCCCAAAGACTAATAAAAAGTGGTCACCCAGGTACGTGGAGTGCACTTCATCGTCAATCCAAGCATTAGTCCTATTTAGTACATTATACCCTGAGCAGAGGAACAGAGAGATAAATAATTCCATCGTGAATGCTGTACGGTTCATTGAAGAAATACAAAAGCCTGATGGTTCATGGTATGGTCATTACTTATTTACTCCGTGGCCTAGAATTCAGAGAGAAATCAATTATATAACAAGAGTTCCACAGGTATGGAAATTGGGGAATTTGCTTCATGTATGGTACGTGGTTTGCACTTAAAGGTTTAGCTGCTGCAGGCAGGACATATGAAAATTGTCCCGCCATTCAAAAAGGTGTTGATTTTCTACTCAAATCGCAAAGAGATGACGGTGGATGGTGTTGATTTTCTACTCAATCGAAAGAGATGACGGTGGATGGTCCCTTGGAGAGGTTATCTCTCATGTCCAAAGAAAGGTCTTGCTTTCCTTTGGCTTTACATACTTGTTTGACCTGTTGATTCTTTATTATGTGGCGAACCTCGAACTATCATTCAAGCAATTTCCAATGTAGGTGTATCGTTCCCCTTATACGCCAGAGAGATGATCGCACTCCCAATTTGGTTAGACTTGCCTCCGCGCGCTACTGCACGATGGGTTGATCATCACATCGCGCACGGGCAGGGCTCATTTAACACTTATAATCATTTATATATATTAGTATAATCAAAAATACATTATTTTTATATTGAAAGTTAATTCTAATTCTTTTGAAGAAGGTCAGAGAGACCTCTGCCTCTTCATCGTGCTGCAAAACTGTTAAGTTAATTCTCGACAGAACTGGAGATTTCCTCAACAGGTAAAATATTCCATGATCTTTACAATTCTTTTGGTTGGCTTTATAAATTCTATCTTTTCATTAAGTGGTTAACTTATATAATTCTGGTTGCTAAACTGCTAATCTTATATAATTTCTGGGTTGCTAAACTGCTAATCTACCTATCTAATAATGACAGGGACAGAGTGGGGTATTCATGAGGAATTGCATGCAACACTATGCACTATATAGGAATACTTTTCCCATCTGGGCTTTGGCTGAATACAGACTGCATGTTTTGTTGCCTTCTGAAAAAACCTGAATCAAGGGAATTTATATGAAATAAGGTTTTAGTAATTTTGTGAAGAAAAAGTTATGTATTTAGTAGAGATGAAGTGCAGATACAAAAGTGGTGAATCAATAGATTCATCAATTCCTCCCAATAGTGGGGCAAGCAATAAAGTTCATGATAATGTATATAAATATAAGAAAAATCTTTTTTTTTTTTTTTTCTTTCTGTTTGGCGGCTGAGAAATGGTGAGAAAATTAAAGGACTAACTGAGGGAGAGAATGAAATGATATGCGTTTTGTGTATATGTACATAATTTCCTGGCTTTATAATATATTTTCATGTGGAAATTCAAAACTTAATTTCTTACATGGTAATATTTTATACTTTCGATCCTTCTATAATTAATGCTTGTGTAGTTTGTATCAATTGTAATAAAAGTCACTCAATCTATTATATATCTATAATTTATAATATAAACTATATACTCTCCCTTACAACGTCTAAGCCATTTGCCCTTTGAAAAGAAGAGGAAATCAAATATTGCAGGAAAGAAAATAATAAGGGATTGTCAATTTCTTTTTTATAGTAAATTTTCACGTTTGTGTTTGAATATAATGAAGAAAACAAAATAAATTTATTTTTCTTTGTTTAGAAAGAGAAAAAATTAGAGGGAAATAAATATTGTCATTGAAAATTGATACTTGTATTCTCACTTAGACTATGAGGTATTTAAGAAAGGTTTAAAGTTTAAAGTTTGTGAATTGATTTGGGATATTTAGATAATTTAATAAGAATAAGTGAGATTTTCCCTTTTCTTCAAATTAGATAGATTCAAAACATATAGTCCTAGTGAAAAGTAAGTGAAATATTACTTCTTCCAAAAAAATATACTCATCCCAGCAAAAGGTTAAGGGTTTTGCATGAAAATTAAGAAAACAATTAATTTTTTTTTAAAATTATAACAAAATCAAAGATAATTTGATCAAATTACTTTTATTTCAAAACTAATGATAATTTGTAAACATAATTATTGTACTTAATATAATAAATGTAACATTGAAAAAATATAATTTATTATTTCTTAAATATTAAAATGATTTATAACTCAATTATAAATTTAGACTCCGTTTGTTTCCGGAAAATAATTTACCGTTGAAAAATACTCTCCCGTCTTATTTTGTTTGCATGGTTTGACAAAATACACATATTAAGAATTTAATCAATGAAAGTTATTTTGCGCTTTTTACCATTAACTCATTAAGAGATTAATAAAATCTTTCATTTAATGAACCGAAACGAAACTCATTAAGAGATTAATAAAATCTTTCATTTAATGAACCGAAACGATCCAAAAATTTAATTTTGTAGAATTTTTTTTAAAAACTAAATTTTAAATTCAACCAATTAGATTATACAACAAATATTTTATTATTACTAAACCGGACCCATAAATCAATTTGAGTGTTTCGAAAGCCAGGTAAAAATCCGTAAACCAAGCAAAAATCGGATCAATCACTGAATTGGACTAAACCGATTCGAATCGAACCAAAATGGCCTAGAAAGCTCTAGAACCACTTTCTTTCTTCTTCTTCCCTCTCCAGCGAGCGCAGGCGCGACCTCCTCCCTCCTTCCCGTTTTCGGCCACCGCTCGACTAGAGCGAGGCGGCAATTGACTCCCTTGGAGCAGCTGGTCCCTTTTTCCGGCTTCTCTCCTTCTCTCCTTTGGTTTCCAGTTCTGGCAAGCACGGCGGATAGGCGAGCTGCGGTCTCTCCTTGCCGGCGACGCAGCAGCACCTCCAATCTGTGCTATTCAGCCGCCGATCGCCTCTGTTCAGTCGCGTCTCTTCCTCGCTCGCGATTCCGACGAGCTGTAGTTTCCTCTCCTTATCGGCAGCGAAGATGGCAGCGGCACTTGTCTCCTGTCCAGCCCGCTCCGGTCGAACAGAAGGCTGATCTCGCACAACTAATGCCACAAATGGACTCCTAACAGAAAACCGAGCCAGATAGTGCGATGAGCGCTCGATTCCGAGCAGTCAATGGTTTCCGTCCACCGTAGGCGGCGGCGGAGGTATAGCGACCGGACGGCGAGTCCCCGGCGAGGCAACAAGAGACAGAATCTTCCTCTCCTCGCGCTGATCGCGGAATCATCATTCGACTTTCCATCGGTACGCATGAAGACCCGGTTCTTAATTTTTGTATAAATATGTAGATAGAACATTTTTAGTCTTTAATCGAATATGATTCTCCTTAGGGATCCTTGTCAGATAAATACACTAAATTTTAAAAATTTAGACTACAAGTCATTTATAATAGACGTTACAAATCAAAACTTGAAAGATATATTGGAATTAGTAAGTTAGTTAATTAGTATAATCATTAGCTTAAAACTAGTTGGTTGTGCATGAGAAAAGTAAGATGAGTTTTTTTTTTTTGAGTCAGTTAACGGAGGTTAGATGCATAATTCTGACAAACTAAGTTTGGAAAGCCTAACCGCTTCCCATATTGATATAAGAATCGAATCTAAAGTAAATAGTAGTGAAAAATAGTTATTATTAAAAATGAGTTTTAATAACTTAACAATTTAATTACCATAAAGTTATTAATTTGGTTAGTTTATGATTTAACAAATAATTTTATATGAGTATTGTTGGAACAGGTTGAAAGTTGCTATATTTGCAAATTTGTGATTGAGATAGTTGGGTGTTAATACTAATATTTAAGGAGGATGGGTACTTGATTTGATTGATTGCCCGACGGATGGACTATGTGATTTGAGTAAATGATTGAACGAATGAATAATGATTTGGCAGATAGGATTGGTTGTTTTGAATTGCCCGAAGGATGGGCTTTGAGAATTTATTATTGAATTTTGGGTTAGTCAAATTTTAAGAGAGATTATGTCGGAATTTCGATAGAATTTAGGTTAGTCACAATTAATAATTAAGTTAATAGATTTATTTAGATTAATTTTTTAACTTGATATATAATAAATAACGTTCTTTAATTATTTTATTATTATTTATTTATTTATTTAATTACTTGTTTATTGTCCAAGGATCAATTATTATAATATATTGTTAATTACTACTCCTTTATTTAATTGTAATTAAATATAAATGTCTAGTTGTGCAATTGCATCATGATATTTAGTTGTTTGCCATGCTTGCATTTAATTGCAATGTTGTTTGCCATGCTTGCATTTAATTGCAATGTTTGATTAATTGTGTTGTGATAATGTTATGCTTTGTTTGTGTGGAGTTGGGATGAAGTAGTTACCATGGATTTGTGAGGACGGTCCTGGAAATGATGAAAATATGAAATTTGACCGTCGGCTAGGTATGGGGAGATCGGCGCCGTCGTATGGACCTGACGATATGATACGAATGATATGGAAAACCACTGGGTGGCCTCATGTTGGTATGGAAAAGAAAAGAGAGAATGAAAAAACAATGAGAGAGCTGGTCAATTGAGGATAAGACCGGTCGGCCATGTATGAGGGATCAGCTCCCTGGTATACATGTCATGAGAGGATGTGCCATGTGGAAGGACGGCTCATCGGGGTTTCGGTGACACCATAGACCGATCTCCACGTGATGTGATTATGCGAAGGTGCAAATATTTGTGAGTGCTGTTGTGATGCTATTTGTGTGACTGTCTGCGTGATTATATGACTAGTCGGATGACTAGATTTAATTATTTACACATTTGTGTGAATGCGTATAAGGTGCAATAATTATTATTCTTTATAAAACTCACATGTTTTGTTTAACTAAACTCACATGTTTTGTTTAACTCTAGGAAGTAGCTTCTTCTAAACCTAAGTTAAAACTTTGTTTCCTTCATCGCAGAGCTAGAAAAGAAAATATTTAATTTCAGTAATTAGCGTAATTGTGAGTTTACAAAATCTAATTGTTCTGATTGATATTGAACTCCCCAGTTATAGGATTGTAACTGATAAATCTATGTGGGTATTTATGTCACGATCCATTTCCATGGACCGGACCGGCACTAGGACCTGGGTGGGCTTAAGGCCCCCGAAGCCCGTAGTAAGCCTATATTATGCAAATCTCAAGCCTATATTTATGCAATCTCATTTACTATCATAACTGTGGATAAGGCCCTCAATTTTATTTTGTTTCAAAATTATGTATCACTAGTACAGTTCATTTACCACTAGAATACAATTGCGGAACTCTACCTGTACATTTACCTCATCATTTATTTATCGTTTACAGTCTTCTATACTTATGTCTCAACTCCATAGGATTTTTTTCTTTCTTCTATTACCTGGAAAAGAAATAGGTAGGCAGGAGTGAGCGCCAAACTCAATGAGTAGGGTTAGATAACCCTCTCACCCCACACAATCATACAGATTGTAAAATATTTTTATTTGTTTATCAATTAAATTTATGATCATGCAGTGTCACACAAATGGCAATACAACAGCAACCACAATTATTATCACCTTCATATAATCACATCACGTGGAAATTAGTCAGGAAATTAGTCAGTGGTACCCCTAAAACCCCAACGAGCCCGTCCTCACACATGGCTTGCCCTCCTCATTTACATGTACACCAGGGAGCCGATCCCCCATACGGCCACTGGGTCTTAATCCTCACTGAACCAGTCCTCTCATTGTTTTTCGCAATTCTCTCTTTTCTTTTCCATACGCCAATAGGGGCAACCCGGTGGTCTCCATCAATCTAGATCATCAAGTGCTCACAACAGGAGCCACCCTGCGGGCTACAATCAAATCTAGATTATCAGGTGCGAACAACAAGAAAGCCATCCTGTGGTTTTCCATATAATCGCATATCATCAGGTGCACACGGGGCCGCCGATCTCCCATTTTCCCCCGGCCGACGGTCAAATATCATATCATATTCAGGATCCATATCACATACCGTCTCACAAACGCAAAATGGTGGTCCCTTCATCCCAATCCACACAAACAAGGCACAGCAATATCACATCACAGGTAATCAAGCATTATTTTAAATATCAAACAAATAGTGCATAACAATATGCAATAAATGGCATGATAAAACAATTTAGCCG